AATGATAGGAATTCAGTCGAAAAGCAATGTACATCAGCAACGAAGCTATTGAGTTTTGTGAGTTGGTTGATTTTTGGGTTAAAACACGTTGTCAAAACTGTTCTAAAAAAATGTGAAATTAAGGTCAATGGTTAAAATCCCATTACAGAGAAATCTAATACATTATTGATAAATGAGAGTAATCTGCTATGTGGTGTGTGTGTATATATATAACGATAAAGATTAACTATCTCTAAAAACAAATAATTACCAAAAATGGGAATCCTAAATGATAGGAATTCAGTCGAAAAGTAATGTACATCAGCAACGAAGCTGTTGAGTTTTTGAGTTGGCCGGTTTCTGGGTCAAAACAGGTCAATCGTCAAAACTGTTCTAAAAAAATGAGTCTACCCGCCTGTTCAAACAGACTCCCTCATAATCATCGGCAACCTTCTACATCACGTACAATTCTGTATCGGAAGTAAGGATGGATCCAGGAATTTTCAATGAGGTGGGCTAATATTTCTTTAGGTAGACTAATATTAGTAATAATTATTATGGAGAGCTAATATTTCTTTGGGTGGGCTAATACTAGTAATAATTATTATTTTTTTTTTTAGCTAGGCTAAAATTGGGTAAAAAAAAAAATTGTATATGATGGTCCCCCCAAATATATATATATATACCTTTAACAAATTTAGGCTTAAATTCATTTGCAATATAACATATTCAAGCTTTTTATAGTTGTTGTATATGCTGATTGTCGGATAGTTGTAAGTTAGTTGTTTAAAATTGATGCCTAAATAAAAATTTTAACTTTATTTTTATAATAGGCAAAACGGATGTCAATATATACTTTACCCTAAATTTTATTAACTGATTTAGGGATTCGGTTCCAACTTGCAAAGTATAAAAAAAATATATCTCACACTTTTGAGTTGAGATCAAAAGTGAGTAACGAATATGTCAGATTCTTGAATACCATATAAATTACTCCATCTGTCCCAAATAGTTGTCTGCTTTGAGAACTATGTTATATTGGGACGGAGGGAGTATATAATCATATATATATATATATATGTGTGTGTGTGTGTGTGTGTGTGTGTGTATTTAAAAAAAAAAAATCAACATTTACTTTTTTAATGTTGCAATTCATACTTATTTTTATGTAGCTCAAAGTATGAAACTGGTAACTAGTTCAAATGGAGTCTTGCTAATATTTGGCTTGAATAATTATTCTCTTTATACAATTGTACTATTATTTGATAATTGAAAATAATGAAATATTGATAGTTTAATATGTATTACGCATTATGTGTTTCAGTTTTTACTAGATTATTAATTTGTATTATTATTATATCAAATTCAAATTTGTTTATAAATTAAAGTCTAATTGTTTACTTGAAACTTCTGTAGATTTTGGCTTAAATCTTATTTGTCTTTGGGAAGCTTGATAAAAAATAATAATAATAATAATAAATAAAACCTATATTTGTATGAATATAATGAATAGTATATATAAAAAAAAAAAAAAAAAAAAAAATTAGACTTTAATTTATAAACAAATAAATTGACAAAAATTTAGCTAGATATATATTTGTATGAATATAATGAATAGTAATTTTTTTTTATTTTTTTAAGGCTTGAATTTGTCTTATGGTTGCTTCAAAGTTTGGCCCTCCAACCACAAAATACTGGCTCCGCCCCTGCAGGTGACCACTTTGTGATGTTCAAAGAAATGGAATTTAAGGTCACGGGGGATTTTAAACTATGGAAGAAGACGATGTAATGTTGATAAGAACATATCAGAAAGTACTTAGGTATGGAGCTTGTAAGAGGAGTAGAGGACACTTGAGTGTCCTTGTCCCTTCTTCTTCACATGTAAGCTACTGGAGTGAGCCAGCAAATTAAATCAACCACTGCAACACTTTTCAGAATATGTTTTTTAGTGGTTGCCGTCTCTTTGTTGATTTTTGGATACTACAATGGATTGTTCAGGTGCTTGTGTTTTGGTAACATGTCTTGCTTTGCCTGCATTTTCTAAATTCCCACCATTAGAATCAAGAGAGCTATGCTTTATTGAGTTTCTGGGATTGAAATGTTTTGGCGTTTGGAAAATGATTTGTCTCCTACCTGTGAATATATGTCTCATTACTTTTGTCTATTACATGAGGCTTCAATGGAATGCTCTTTCAAAACCACACATATCAATCCCTTGTTTTTTAACTCTTACCATCAAAAGTCAATGGAGATTTTCAAATTAAACAAATAAGGATGTTCCGTAAATTTGAAGATTGAAATATCTAAAATGCTTTTAAGACAAAATAACAATAAAAATAAAAAATATTAATTTTAGTTTTTAAGCATATATTAAGAATATTTTGGAGTTTTATAAATTTATATAACAAAGGTTTTTTTATTTTTACCCTTCCTAAAGTTTCTTTCTTATTGACAATACTCTGGTATATATATCAGCTAGTTTCCAATGCTTTAATTACTCATGTAAATATATAGTTTGACTCTATATCACAACAATTAGGGTTGATTAGGACTTCTGATGTGGACTTATGATTCTTAGTGATTCACTGATTCACTTCCCTTTAATGTTGAGCTTTTCTACCACATGCCAATAGCGAGATGCTAAAAGAATTTGTCTGCAATTCCATTGTTGTAATCATCTAATAGCACAAGTATATAGTGTCTAACATGTAAAGTTCATTAACAAATGAACATGTTTGGCCCTGAATTTTTGCAGATCAACATTGTTCTTGGATCAGTTTTGTGAATTTCAGGGCCAACTGGCATCATTTTTTTTTTTTGTAGACCTTAGTTGTGGTGACTTTGTAGTCGGTGTGCCGTGAGCGAGTGTAAGAGGTACTGGTAGGCTATTACACTGAACGAGTTATAGGTGCACAATTTCACATCATCTGGGTGTGGAAAGGAAAAATGTTGATTTGTACACTCCACTTTTGGGATGAAACCTAACAAAATTGTGCGGGTTCGATCTCAAAGCGGATAATATCATATCATGTGGTGAAATGCGTCACTATAAATAGTATCAGAGCCTGACCTAACCGAAATGTGGCCACCGAGAACGTCGGGCCCCTAAAGGGGATGACTGTGACAACCTTGTGGGCAAGCTACTGCACTGACGAATTATAGGTGCACAATCTCACATCAAGTGTGAGGAACGAGAACGTTGTCTCGTTGGGCTCTTAAGGGAGGTGATTGTGGTGACGGGAAAATTTCTTAAAAGTGATCTCAAGAGAATTCGAACTCACAACCTCCCAATATGGATTGGTGTACTTGGATAAATAAATAAATAAATCTGCTAAATATTTAATAGGGAAAATTCCTATTAAGTCTTACTTTTTTGGCCCAAAGACAAATAAGTTCTACAAATTTTTCAAAAAGACAGAGAAGTCCTATTTTGTAAAATATTTCCAAATAGGTTCAGATTATGCAAATTGTAAAATTTGTTCCATTATTGCCCTTCCAACCCCAAACCCACAACCATCTTCACCTACCTCGGCAGTGCGTCAATGGAGATGCACCAGGCCCTCACGCACTTCGACGCTGCTTTGAACACTTCGATCATGGTGATGCATAACTCTGAACACTTCAATAGCGATGGAATTCACCGGTATGAGTTGTGTAGCCGACGCTTGGAGCTCGTCAGTGTGAGCTTGATGTTGTCGATTGGTCTCAAAATCAACAGCACCAACGATGAAGAAGAATATCGATGCTGCTGGGTCTGAAGTTGGCTTACCGAAGTTGATGGTTGCCAAAGCTCAGTGTGTCTCACCGAAATTTGAACATTTTTAGAAAAGAACAATTTGCTTGTACATAAACTGAGATATAGGAGTTAAATTTAGTGACAGAAAAGAACATAGCAGAAAAAAATCTTTATATCTATTTTACTGATCATTGACATTTCTTAAGATAGAGACACTTATTTATGCCGAGGCAATGTAGTGACCATTTCCTTTGCAAAGTTAGCTCCCTGTTTCTGGTTGTTCTAATAAGTCAAATCATTAGATATATCTCTTTTTGATACTGGCTCCCTTTTTATGGTTTTCTTGTTGATGATAAAATGGGAAATTGTGGTTCTTACCAACCAAATGCTTTCAGTGCTCAAGGCTGTTGTGGTGAGGTATTCTTCTAAATGGTGTTTTCTTTATGATTGCCTTGGCATATGTGCTCAATTTAGTGTTTGATGTTTCATCTTCTGTGAAGAAGTATTTGGTGGGTAGAGAACCTCCTGGTCGATGCTTGTCAAAATAGGACTTTGATTGCTTAGAAAAATTGCAGAGATGGAAGGCCAAGGGAGGATCTACGGCAGCGGGTGAGGACAATAGCCTCCTTCTATGTACTCTTCCGAATGACAATAGCCTCCTTCTAGGATTTTTCACTTTTGTGTTAGTCACTGTAACAGAACTTTGAACTTGCCGGCCAAACAAATTCTGGCGAAACACACTGAGCTTTGGCAACCATCAACTTCGGCAAGCCAACTTCAAACCCAGCAGGTTCGATATTCTTCTTCATCGCTGGTGCTGTTGATTTTGAGACCCGTCGACGACACCAACTCACATCGGCGAGCTCCAAGCGTCGGCTACACAGCTCATACCGGTGAGCCCCAAGCATCGAGAACTCCATCGCGATTGAAGTATTCAGAGCTGTGCATCACCATGATCGAAGTGTTCAAAGCGGCGTCGAAATGCGTGAGGGCTTGGTGCATCTCCATTGACGCGCCGCTAAGGTAGGTGAAGACGGTGGTGGTTTGGGGTTGGAAGGGCAATAATGGAACAAAATTCACAATTTGCAGAATTTGAACCTATTTGGAAATATTTTACAAAATAGGACTTCTATGTCTTTTTGAAAAATTTGTAGAATTTATTTGTCTTTGGGCCTAAAAAGTAGGACTTAATAGGAATTTTCCCTATTTAATATTATACAGGTCCCCAGGCAGGCCTTTAATTGAAACAATTTGTCTTGGGCTGTCAAGCCCAGTGCAACCATTAGTTTATTGTGTCGGCCATATCCAAGCTTACGGCAACGCACTTGCCTCTCACGTGCGGATCTAGGGTTCCTCTGCTTCTTCGGTTTGGTGGGAGTAGGCACAACAGCAGAAAGAAGAAGAGAGTGATATACTGCGGGTTGTCATTTGATCAAAGCGAAGAAAGAGAAAGTAGAGAGAGAAAGAGATGGGGAAGAAGGCGAAGAGCTCGAGGAAAGGAAAGAAGGCATGGAGGGCGAACATAAGCATGGAGGAGGTAGATGACTACTTTGAGAAGTCAACCAAAGACGCTCTCTCCGGTGGCTCTCTCACTGAACTTCCCAGCGAGTCCCTCTTCTACCTCGATAAATCCAGAGGTATTGTCTTCTCGTTTTTTAATTTAATAATTATACTCTTCTTTGGTTGCTGGGAAAAAAGGATACGAAGACAATGTATTTACAATTTCTTATTAATTATTCTACCGCAACAACAAGAAAAAGAAAAAGGAAGAAAACCCACCAGTTCACGAAATTAATACAACTATTTAATCGATAGTTATGAAATTATATTTTCTTTTACTCGGGTTTTCCCTTTTTGTTGAGGGTTTGTTTTGGTGTAGTCTGAATTAGCTGGTTTTGTATGACTTATATACTGGTTCTGTTGAGTGTGTATATATATATATATATATATATATATATATGTATTAGCTGGTTTTGTATGGCAAGTTTGAATATCTTTGAAGCAGCCTAATGAGAGGCGTCAAATTAAATAGTGCCATGTTGTGTATATAGCTATAGTCGACTTACATTCAACGAACCATTTTAATTACCTTCTGTTGCTCTATGATGCAAATTTTGTTTCCAAATCATTGTTGAAGTTACGGTTTGGCAAATTGGCATTGCATTCTAATTCTTAGTCAGCTTTACAGACATAATCACGCTCTCTTGTAAGTTTTAACTGCTAACCCTAGTATAGATTAGTACTGATGCAACCAAAGAAAGAACACCTCACTTACTCATACACACATGTTGTCGTGCCAGGCAAACTGTTTTTTTTTTTTTAAAAGATTCTCTTTCTAACAACAATTGGTTGTAATTTATCCATTTTCGGTTATTCAGATCTTTCAGTCAAGCGGAAGATTGAAAAACACAGAGAAAAAGTACTCCGTTGTGACAGCTTGCTACAAAGGAACTCCTTTGTTGAAGCAGTACCATCTTCGACAAAGAGGAAATCCCAGAAAAAACGTAAAGAAGTTCAGAAAGCAAAAGATGTTGTTCAAAACGGTCCAATGGTGACTTATTCAAAAATTAAAGCAAGTAAATATAGAAATGAGAAAGTAAAATGGTTCTGATTTTCTATCCTTCTTGGAATCTCTCAGGGTGATGGTGTCTCAGATTCGGGCATGGTTGACATGTGGGATAACAGAGGTTTCTTCCTATTCATGTTTTTTATACCCATGAAATCCGTTCTGGTTTTGATGTAATGAGATTTATGCATTACATATGCCTTTATTTTTCTTGCAGGTGAACACAACAACGAAACCAAAAAGGTAAATTTTATATGCAAATTCAAATATTATATCTCCTTTAGTCTAGTATATGGTGTATTTCTGTTGCAATAATACTAAAAAAATGTTGAGCTTCAAATATGATCCATATTGGATCCTTTGCTGTTCTTTTGCAAAAATAGGATACCACAGAACCAATGCTCATTTGATGTGGGCTTTATTTGCCGTGGATTTGCTATTTAATGTTTTAACAGATGGCCAAGCCCTCAATTATTCCCGCTGTAGAAGTTGAGCCTCCTGGATGCTCGTTCAATCCCGCATTCGAGAGTCATCAGGTTACCTTTTGATATCTGAGATTTCAAAACTTTGCCTCTATACCGGTCTTTCTGCAGGTGAAGTTCACTCTCTAATCTTTCTTGTCAATCCAGGATTCATTAGCTCTTGCTGTTGCAGACGAAATGCAGAAAATCTATCGTAATGAGTTGGGACCTAAGCCAGTTCCGTTAACTGTCCCTGGAGAAGTTATTGATGAAGAAGATGTGAGTATCTTTTGTTCCATTACTCTATTATTTACTTGGAACTCCAGCCTGAACATATTGTGATGTACCCACACTCTTCCTGATTTGTATACCTCAAGCAAACTTTTCAGTAACAAGCAACTATTTCAGATCTATTTCCTTGAGGCAGATAATAGTGATGATGATGATGATCCAAATGTCAAAAATCTGCATGAGAATGGAGATTCTGAACTTGAGAAGAGGTCTGCTTCATTTCATTTGTTATTGCTGCTACTTCAATCCAGTGACTTTTCTTCTTCTTTTCCTCAAATTTTTAGCTTAAAGTTCTATGTTTTAATGATTGTATTATCTCTTATTGTAACTGGAGAGTTGTTGGTAGATACTGTTTTGCTTGTGGAGTTTTGTGTTTGTATCAACCTAAATAATTAAACAAATTAGCACTTGTAACTTACAGAAAATGTTATATTTTTTTACGGCTAGAGGATTCAAGCAAGTTGCCAGATGCATGATGCTTTTGAGGATGTATTATCTTAGGGGAGAGATCCAAAATTTTTGCGGGATATAAATATTTGTATATATTCTTTTTCTATTCATTGCATGTTTAACATGGGGATGATCATGTTGGCCAGACTGGTGTGACAACCCACCCTCAGATGGTTTTAATCTATATCTGTGTTGACATGGATGAGTAGGGCTCAAGTAGTGTGATTGGGTTTAGTTTCTAGACTGGTAATGTTATCCAGGTGGCAAGTTTAGTGACAGAACAATATGCATCCATCCTTGATACGGGCACTTAAAAATGTGTTTAAACATGTACCCAATTCATAGTAATAAGTGTAGTTCACATGGCTTTATAGATGGCTAGGCCAAGCTAGCTTGGGTTTAATTATTCTCTTAGGGCTAAGCTTGTGGCCTTGGGCCTGTATGTTTGGTTGGTGGTGCAGTTGAGCCATCCCAGGTCTATGTAGTAGTACCAACAATTCCAGAGAAAAACTTGTCCTCATTCATGATCATTTTCCTATAATATACAGTATTTATTATAATTGCTGTTATTATTATTATTGTTATTACTATCTGTGCCCAAACCTAGTACTTAATATTAATTATGACGTAGTTTTAGTATCATGGTAATTGTATAACCTGGATTCGGTTATGTGTGTCAGGGTGCGGGTATGTGTTCAAGCTTTGGATATTTGGATGTATCAAATCCCTAACAGGACACATGGAAAATACTAAATATTCATATCATTTAATATTTTTCTTTTATTTTCTAGAGTAAAATAGCACTTTCATGCAGCATAGTGTTCAAAATAGGTTTAATTCATTTTGAAGTCATAATATAATATTATTGTATTGTTGGATATGCTTCTTAGGTACATATCCAACCAAATGTGTCAGTCACTGACACAGTTACTCATGTTGTTTTGAGAGTCCATGTAACACAAAATACTAGATTTATTTAGTTTAAAGAGACTGAAAACCCTTTTGGGTCATTTTTACAGGAATACTAGTATGATATTAGACTACATCTTGTTGATGCAATTCATAATGTTCAAATGAAAAGCAAAAAAATAATTCTAAAATAATTCTGCTCAACACCTTACCCTTTGAATAATAATTCTGCAGGTCCTTCACAACTAAAAGGGTTACGCAAGTTGAGCTGAATAGGAGGGCTAGACGCAAGGAACAGCTGAGATCAGAAGCAGAAGCAAAAAAAACAGAGGGACTTTCAAAAGAAATAGACTGGTAAGCTGATGTCTTTGGTTTGAGACGTATACCTTGCAGTTACGTGATTTCTTGGACTGATGTTTTAGTTTTCTGGCTGCAGCATACCAGATATAATTCAAGAAATAGCCAAAGAGGATGAAGAGAAGCACAGAAGACGTCTCCGGCGCATTGTTGCTAAACAAGAAAGATTAAAATCTTGTCCACCACGGCTGGGAAAGCACAAGTATGGCGTCTTTCTTTTTTGTGATTTGTGAATTGGTCATGGGTTCCTCTCTTTCCATGTCTAATTAGTAAATGGAATTCTACTTATAGTTATGTTTTCTCTTTCTTTTTCAGTTTTTATGTTTAATGTGGGAAGTATAAAATCCAAGTGCTCTCTCTTTCTCTCTCTCCAAAAATTTCAATTCGAAAATATTTTGAATCTGATTTTTAATTTTAAACATTATATTTAAAACTTTTGATGATCTTCTATTTTATTTAGGGGGGTTAGAAAGTGAAGGTATCATTTTTTGCAATGGGAAGCAATACTCAATAATTGTCGGAAAACCTTTTAGAAGGATCTGAACAAACTTGCTTCTTTGCATCATATATCTGTTTCAAGTTACCATCATCATCATATTTTTTAGCACAACTGAAATAACTGATTTCCTTGATTTCAGATTTGAGCCTGCCCCCGTTCAAGTCCTATTATCTGAAGAAATTACAGGTTCCCTTCGGAAGCTGAAGGTTTGCCTTATTTACATCCATTCATTTTTCTCCATACAATAATTAAGTTTGGTTTACAATTTTTATTTGATCTCAATTGAATGTATTTTTATTATATTAATTTTTATTGCATGAAGGGATGTTGCACCCTTGCAAGAGATCGATACAAGAGCCTAGAGAAGAGAGGATTAATTGTCCCAACGGTTAAGACTAGCAGGTATGTCTCTCTTCCCCCTCTGCATGTACCACAAAGTTGTGAAGGGGTATTTGATTTGCTATGAAATTTGAATCATTGAGTTATGGTTCTTATCGCTGGGAATCCATTCAGTAGTTGTGTGGTATCGTTTTTAACAGCTAAATCTGTCGAAAGGTATTTCATTTCTCTAAATTTTGAAGGGTCTCATAACTATTCTAGATCTGAATTTCTTCATGCGGTTATCCCGTTTTCATAGTAGATATCATCTCTCTTGATGTGCCATGTGCAAGCAGTTCAGTCAATCCTCTCTTAGTTTTCTTGTTAGCACCTTGCCTTCAACCCCCTCTTTTTTTATTTGGTCTAGAATGTTATTAAACCTGCTGGGTGGTTGGCTGTTGTTCCTGTTTCCCAAAAGCGACATGTTAAAATGGGTGGATGCAAAATCTTTTATGAGACCAGTTATTTAAGAGGAGCAGAAAAAAGGGTTTCCTTTAATGTGCATTAGTGTGTGTGTGTGTGTGAGCGTGCATGCATCGTGTTTTAAAGATGTGCAAACGCAAATGGTAACGGTTTATGGGATGTCTACGTGTACAGGAAATAGAGTTCTCTCACCTCCAGAAGTGACCAAGACAGCTGAGCCTAGGAACAAAATATGTGCTGAGTTACCGGAAAAAAGGAAGTATGTGCAGGCTGAATTTGGGGTGTTTATGCTGATGCTAGCCAGTGATGTTTACCTCTAATGTATTACTGAAGGAGGAGCCGGTACCCGATATTGTGTAGCAAAAGACTTGGTGATGCAGTGATATTTTCGGTTTACCTCTAATGCATTACGATATTCAAATCGACTTCCCTTATTAAATGAATTCTTTTGGTGATATGTGAGGTAATTTTTTTTTATTATATCAGAATAACTTCAGAAACCTCCTAGCAATCTTATTTCTCGTGTGATGTGCATGTATGATGAGTTGAATTAATTAATAGTAGGTGAACACTAAGGGTGGCAATTTAAACTCAAACCTATTAGACTGTCCAAGTTGGCCCAATAAAATTAAATTATTTAGGTATCCAAATTTAAGTGAGTAGGTCAATAATAGGTAAAAAGTGAGTACCAATTCAATTCAAGGGTCAATAGCAAATTAAGAGTGGATACCTAGCCTGCTCAAACAAAAATTTTTTTTTTTTTCTCTCTTTTTCTCTCTTTTTTTTGTCATAAAAAAAAAAAAAAAAAAAAATTTGTAACACTTGAAATACAAAAAATTAATTAATGTAAAAATAAATTTTTTTGGTTTTTCAAAAATCATAATAAGTAATAATATTACTGAAGTGTAGGTGTTTTAATATTATTAATATTAATATTTTCTGTTTCTACGTCTCTCATTCTTGTTTTTATCTCTCATCTTCTCCATTTTTTCTCTCTCCTCAATCTTTCTTCCCCTGTTTTTTTTTCTCCTCTCTGTTTCTCTCTCCCTTTTTTTTTTTTTTTTTTTTTTTTTTTTTTTTTTTTAGTGATAACTCTCCCATTCTATCTCTTCTCCCTTTTTTTCTCTCCCCTCAATTTCTCTCTCTTCCCTTTTCTCTCCTCTCTTTCATTTTTTGGGCTGTGATAACTCTCAAAGTAAGTTATATGGTAACTTTTTCCCAAAAATAAATAAATAAAAGGAAAAAAAAAAATTGTATAACAAGTGAGACCAAAAAATTAATAAATTTAATATAAAAATATATTTTTTTATTTTTTTTTGGTATTCAACAATAAAAATAATTTGACAATTTATATCTAAAAATATTTGAATAATTGAGTTGGATGTCTGTTAATTAATCCATTTAACATCCGACCCTTTTCTCACACATCATAAATCCATTTATGATGAGCCCAAAACATACCCATTTGCCACACGAAAACTGTCCATTCAGATGAGATTGACTATTTCCTTTATACTTGAACTCTGAATTGAGTTTGAAACAGTTAGTTACCTACAGGCTACCATTCTATTGACTTGAAGTTTAAAAAATAATTCTAATGCTGTAAATATTTTATTTTGACAAATAAGACTACCCAGGTGTGAATATCACGACTCATCTTTCTGAATCTGCCCAATAACTTGACAATTCTTACGAGTTCGCCATGGACTTGGAAAAAAATAACGACAATATAATCTCACAACCATTTATGGGACCAGTCTAATTATTATAACCTGTTCATTGCCAAATCACACATCACAAGCCAAAATAACAATTACCTGTTTCCTTTTATGTCCCTTAATTGTGAAGAAGAAGAAATATGGACTCTCTCCAGCTCTTATTTAAGGAAGAAGGCCGACGTACACACCCACGATATCAGATGCATGGTTCGGCCGGTTTGCTGATGCTTTGATAGATGTAATTTGAAGTATAAATAGCACAAAAGGAAATACATCCTTCAATTACAGGGAAAAGCTATGTATCACCACAATTGTCTGTATGATGGCATCTTTGTTACTATTTCAGAGCTCATTCCACTCCTGACCAAGAGAGAGAACAATAAAACCATCACTTGTTGCCAACTGAACTATACACATTACAAGAAATGGCAATTAAGCTCGTCCCAACAGCCAGGATGATCACCAATGTCGCCATAATCCTATCTTTTCTTGTAGATATACCATGAACATCTCTGTCAAGAAAGAGAACTTTTAATAAGAGGCAAATATGTTTAAAGGGAGATAATTTATGTCACATATGAAACGAATCATTGATGCCAGTTTGTACCTAAGAATGATTGCGCTTGGGAATATGAACATTAGGCACATGACAGTGGTTGTTCCCATGAACTGAAAGATATACCATATGTTCGGGATAGCTATCGCTGCCATGTAGATGAATGCAAGTAAAGCACAGGTAAGAGAGACAAATCTTCGAGAGTCTGTGGCCAAAAGACTCTTCTTTGGAAATAGTAGTTCATCCAGATTGGCCCTCAAGGAAAAGTTAAAGACAGGAAACACCAGCATGAGGTGGATAGCATAACTTAATCGAACAATGTCATTGATTATTGAACCGACCACGGAATGAGAACTTTGATCGAAGTTGACAAGCACGTCCGCCATGATCGAGTCCCCAAATAGCACATACCCAAAGAAGCCAACAGCAAAGTAGATGGCTACGCACAGTACTAGAGAAATTCTGACTGCTGAACTCATATCGGAAGGTCTCCCAAGCTCTGCTCTTATTGGATGAACTGCATACATTTACATTACAGTCTTGAAAATTCTTGTATGCATGAACATGTGGTCCTATTTTACAAGAAAATTAGTAAGTTAAAAATTTATATGGTTTTTCAAGAGCAATGGCATTTGATACCTTGTATCTTATCATTTTTTTTTTTTTTTTTTTGTAGACTTGTCAAAAAATACGAGCAACAAAGTACGTGACTTCATGTTAGGTCATAGTTAAATCCAAAAATATAATGTGGCACCAAAATACTCATGTATTCTCACCACTGACATGGCATCCAAATGCAGTTGCAATGACTGGAATGGTAGTGAAAAGATAGAAGAAGGAGACTCCATTGGCAAAGTCTGGTACCAGTCTTACTCTTTCTGTCTTCCCTTCCCACATCCCATAAATTGCCATCGCTGCACAAATGGCAACAAACACCACTGCTAGGAGAATGGATACTGCTGAAGCATGCCTTAGTGACTCTGTAAGTGACAAGCATTGAGAATGTAACGAAGTGTAAAAAGAAGAGAAAAACAATTATATGCCCTTTATTATATGAAATATCCATGTAATTTGTTTGGGTAAATTACATAAACTTGTTGCTCAAATTAATCATGCGATCACAAGTTTAACCTCATCAAGATTGAAATCTTTCAATCTATATTTCAAAAAGATAGATGCTTTCTCATTGGATTCAAATAGTCAAATCAATTGAGAGGAAAGATCGTGATGTTGATATCATAGCCTGAAGTGAACTTATATGCATCCAAAATTAATTTTACTAACCTACACGGCGTACCAAGAGCAACGGGAGCATAACAAAGAGTACAATGAAAAGAAGTGTATACACTCGTGAATTCCACCAGTGGGTGCCAAACCATTCTTGTAGAATGCCCAAATGCAATGTTCCTTCAGACTGATTTCCTGAGAGAACATCTCCTAAAAGACAAAGTAATAGCTGTCAGTATGTCGTGCATATGCCCTTCATGCAATTATATTAAAGAATATGTGTCAACTATAAACATATTATATGATTATATCCTGACAGAATCTGTCTCATTCAATTATATACGCATACAGCCTCACTAAAGTGTGGCAAGGTATGGCAAGTTGCCCAAGTAATCAATCTGCCTGAATGTGAAGTATATAAAAATTGGTAAAATGAAATTGCTTGAATGATTGTGCAAATGAAGTGAAAATGAAACTACCGAAATGTTGTCAAACCAATAGTATGCGTAGATCTCGGGTTCCAGCTCCCTCCCTGGGCCAATCATTATAGAAATTTTGCTAGGCCACTACAGTTGTCTCCTAACCTGATCCACGTCTTGACAAACATGATAGGACAGAAGTTTAAGTGATTAAACATTTACTCTCAAGGCCTCTCTATCGAGGTAATTTCAACCCCAAAATTCAAACGCAAACTGAAAAATTAGGGATCCACAAGCTTATCGGTTAACACCCTTAGTAATCTCAGCTTATTCTCTATTTCCGATTGGTTTCACCTGTAATAACCAACACGCATACACCATTATAACCTGATCCATTTACCACCGAATTACCTGCCAAAATCTTAAGTGGCATCTCCTACTCCCTGATATATATAAAGTAACTTTTAGGTTTCAATAAAAAGATGGGTTGGGAAATTTTTTATTTTGTGTGGTGAGAGGAACAGGAAGCCTGGACGCGTAATCGATGGACCAGGCTAGGGAGAAAAAAAAAAAGATCCAAGAATTACATTTTATTTCCTGTAAATACACAAAAGGCAACAGGGTCCACATTCATGCCACTCAGTGTGTTCCAGTACAATGTAGAGTTTAGGCAATGCAAGACAGCATGTTGTCACGCCCCGCAACCAAGAGGCTACGCCACACAGACGCCCAACAGACGATGACATGGAGCCTGCATGGACCGGAGCTTTCTAGACTTCTCTACACAAGTATGGAACTTTCTGGAATTCTCTAGATTAGTGTGGAGTTGTCTAACCTTTTCTAGACTTGTCTAGAGTCGTATAGAATTTTCTAGAATTCTCTAGACTTGTCTTGTACATAGTAGATAGTTCTAGAATTGTGTAGATATTTCTTTGGAGGATTCTAGACACTAAATCTAGGCCACACATTTGTACACATCTAGAATGTTCTTGTAAGGCCAAAGGCCTATAAATAGGAGATGGGAGTTCATTCGCTCCTCACCAAGTAACCAAATTATAATCTCTCCTCTTAAGCAATACAAGTTCTATACATTCCCAAACTCTCTTTCGCACTTGCCTAACCTCTTCCTACACACCCAAGTAAGCAAAACACTTGTCTAGCCTTAGTCTTCATTAAGCTAGCACACTCGGGTAGGCTGACTTAGCGCTTCAATGGGGCTTGAAAGTGTCTAAGACCGCACGGGAGCTTGAAAAGGTTCAAGTTCGTGACAGTTGGTATCAGAGCTAAGGTCGTGAGGCATCACACCTTGCGTGGAGGAAGCTATGACGGAGCTATCAGACGTGACTGGCACCTAAGAGGAGGCTCTACGTGGAAGGGAAACAAATCCCCCTCCAAGCGGAGTGACAACGAGGGCTAGGTCGAAGGACATCATGGCAGGCTTAGAGGCACGTGTGGCAAACATGAAAGGGTCCATAGCCAACGTGTTGGAGCAGCTTGAGGATGCTCACCAGCGCATGGATGGGCTGGAATCAGAGGACGCTGAGGTCCAAAATGCTGTCAAAGGGTCACTCAATGCCCTAAGTGGTGACTTTCGGCAGGAGCTCCAAGCACTTCGAGAACTTATGTTGGGGGAGTTTGCCACCCTATGTGGCTATGTTGATCAGGAGCTTGGCACTTTCCGCGAGCAAATGGAGGAAATGCGAGCGGACTGGACATTGTGCAAACGGGCGGTGGCGTCCGGCACAGCTACTGCGGGGGTAGTAGCACCCCGGGTTGATATTCCCAAGCCTAAGTGCTATGGTAGGAACCGGGTAACGAGGGAGTTGGAGAACTTCCTCTTCAGCATGGAGCAATACTTTGAGGCTATGGGCATGACCGATGAGACCATCAAGATACGCACGGCGACCCACTACCTCACCGACCATGCCATGCTATGGTGGAGGAAAAAGTATGGTGACATAGGCAAAGGTACGGTCTCTATTGATACTTGGGCTGATTTCACTAGGGAAATTAAGAAGCATTTCTATCCTGAGAATGCCGAGGATGAAGCCAGGGGCAGACTCCGAAGGCTAAAACAGGTTGGGTCGATTCGGGACTATATGAAGTAATTCACTAACTTGACTCTTGAGATCCCGGATCTATCCAACAAGGACTCTCTTTTCTTCTTCATGGATGGCTTGCAGTTGTGGGCTAAGACGGAGTTGAGGCGGCGCAACGTGCAAGACCTTGCCACAGCTATTGCAGAGGCGGAGTCTTTTATTGATTTCAGATCCAAGAAGGAACCCTCGTCCAAGCCAAAAAACAAAGACAAGGACAAAGGGAGGTATGCCGGCAAAGGTGGGGGAGACAAGGGCGCTGTACCCCACAAGGATTGGTCCCGTAAGCCAGGTGGTGGCCATGGAGGCAAAGAGGGAAGGGAGAACAAGGAAGGAGCACCCAAGCCTAAGGGTTCTTGCTTCATATGTGATGGACCACATTGAGTACGAGATTGCCCAAAGCGGAAGACCCTCAATGCCATGACGAGCCGCTACGAAGAGCAACAACAGGAGGAGGCGCAGATGGGTTCACTACAAATCCTTAATGCCATCAAGGCTAAAACTGAAGTCCCTGAGGCGGCGGCTAAAAGGCTAATGTTCGTGGAGGCGAGCATCAATGGGACACCCACACGTGCTTTGGTGGATACGGGTGCATCCCACAACTTTGTGAGCCTTAACAAGGCCAAGAGGTTGGGCCTCAAGTATAACAAAGAAGGGGGCTCCATGAAGGCAGTTAACTCGGCGGCAAAGGCTATACATAGCATGGCACACGGCGTCCAAGCATGCATTGGCGAGTGGGGTGGCCACATAGATCTATCGATAGTACCCATGGATGACTTCAAACTAGTCCTTGGGTTGGAGTTCTTAGACAAGGTGAGAGCCTTCCCCATTCTTTTTGCTAACACTATGTGTATTATGGAAAGCAACACAGCATGCATGGTGCCGGTGAAGCGAGGCGCCAAGTTGGAAGCCCAAGCTTTGTCAGCTATGCAGTTCAAGAAGGGCTTCAAGAAGGGAGAGACTAGCTACCTTGTTACGTTACTGGAGACACCCGATGATGAGCTAGTCCCTTCCCCGCAAGAAGAGGCGCCTAAGGAGATACGAGCCGTGCTAGACGAGTACATGGACGTGATGCCTAAGGAGCTGCCCAAGAAGCTTTCCACCTAGGAGGGAGGTGGATCATAAGATTGAGCTGGAACCGGATTCTAAACCCCCTACTTTGGTGCCTTACCAGTTGGCACCCCCAGAGTTAGAGGAGTTGCAGAGGCAACTCAAGGAGCTGTTAGATGCGGGCTACATTCGACCCTCGAAGGCCCCATATGGCGCACCGGTGTTGTTCCAGAGGAAGAAGGACGGGTCCTTGCGCATGTGCATCGACTACCGGGCGCTCAACAAGGTGACTATCAAAAACAAATACCCCATTCCTCTCATTGCCGATCTTTTTGATCAGCTTGGTGGAGCACGCTACTTCACTAAGCTAGACTTGCGCTCAGGGTACTACCAGGTTCGGATAGCGGATGGGGATGAGCCTAAGACTACATGTGTGACGAGGTATGGCTCTTATGAATTTCTTGTTATGCCGTTTGGCCTCACCAATACACCTGCTATTTTCTGTACTTTGATGAACAAGCTCTTCCATCCCTACTCGGATCGTTTTGTGGTGGTGTACTTGGATGACATTGTTGTGTATAGCACCACTCTAGAGAAGCACGTACAGCACTTGAGGGCGGTCTTCCAAGTCCTAAGGGAGAACGACCTATATGTGAAGACAGAGAAATGCTCCTTTGCCCAAGAGGAGGTGTTGTTCCTAGGGCATAAGATACGGGATGGCAAGCTGATGATGGATGAGGCAAAGGTAAGGGCCATTCAAGAGTGGGAACCGCCCACTAAAGTGACAGAACTACGCTCATTTCTTGGGCTTGTCAATTATTACCGCCGCTTCATCAAGGGTTACTCCGCAAGAGCAACCCCATTGACAGACCTTCTCTAGAAGGCCCATGCTTGGAGTTGGACAGAGTCATGCCAGGGGGCATTTGATGACTTGAAGAGGGCAGTCACAGAGGAGCCGGTGCTTAGCTTACCCGACCACTCCAAGCCATATGAGGTGCACACGGATGCCTCAGACTTCGCTATTGGGGGCGTGTTGATGCTGGAAGAACACCCCATAGCTTATGAGAGCCGCAAGCTTAATGACACCGAGCGGCACTATACGGTGCAGGAGAAAGAGATGACAGCACTCATCCATTGCCTACGCACTTGGAGGCACTACTTGCTCGGGGCACAATTTGTGATCAAGACGGATAATGTTACCACTAGCTACTTCCAGACACAGAAGAAGCTCAGCCCCAAGCAAGCTCGATGGCAGGACTTCCTAGCGGAGTTCACTTATCATTTTGAATACAAGTCAGGCAAGGCCAACGTTGTGGCTGATGCGCTTAGTCGCAAGGCCGAGCTCGCAGCTATTAGTCGGCCCCAGCACCCTCTTGTGGAACGGATCAAGGAGGGGTTGCAGTATGAACCTCTAACCAAAAGCCTTATTCAGCTGGCTAAAGAAGGGAAGACTCGGCGCTTTTGGCTAAGGGATGATTTACTTCTCACTACAGGGGACCGACTCTTTGTGCCCAGGTGGGGCAACTTGCGAAAGGAGTTGATACGGGAGTGCCACGACACCAAACGGGCTAGTCACCCAGGTATGCGGCGCACATTAGCACTCCTTGAAGATTCATATTATTGCCCTCGGATGCGCGATGATGTGGAGACATATGTGCGGACTTGTCTTGTGTGCCAACAAGACAAGATTGAGCAACAGCATCCTGCAGGCCTACTGGAGCCATTGCCTCTTCCAGAGAGACCATGGGAGAGTGTCTCTATGGATTTCATTACTTGCTTGCCCAAGTCAGAAAGTTGCGGGAGCATTATAGTGGTGGTAGATCGGTTTAGCAAGTATGCCACCTTCATACCCACGCCAGCAGATTGCACGGCAGAGAGGGCAGCAGAGTTATTTGTTGACCATGTGGTCAAGCTTTGGGGAGTTCCACAAAACATTGTCAGTGACAGGGACCCGCGCTTCACGGGTAGATTTTGGACGGGGCTCTTCAAGAAGATGGGGACGGATCTCAACTTCTCTACGAGTTTCCACCCCCAATCAGATGGGCAGACGGAGCGCATCAACGCTCTCCTGGAGCTTTATTTGAGGCACTGTGTGAGTGCCAATCAGCGAGATTGGGCCAAACTCCTTGGGGTGGCACAGTTTTCTTACAACTTGCAGCGGAGTGAGGCTACCAATCACAGTCCATTTGAGGTTGTTACCGGACGGCAGCCTATGTCACCCAACGCCATTGTTTCGACTTGCGATGGTAAGAGTCCAGCGGCCTACAAATTTGCCAAGAGGTGGCATGAGCAGTCCGACTTGGCTAAGGCATACCTTGACAAGGCGGCAAAGAAGATGAAGAAGTGGGCCGACACCAAGCGAAGGCGGGTGGAGTACATAGTGGGAGACCAGGTGATGGTTAAGCTACTACCCCAGCAGTTCAAGTCTCTACGGAGCGTTCATAAGGGGTTAGTAAGGAAGTATGAGGGCCCATTCCCCATTGTCAAGAGGGTGGGCAAGGTCTCCTACATGGTAGAGCTTCCACCCAAGTTGAAGATACATCCAGTCTTCCATGTCAGCATGCTCAAGCCTTATCACGAAGACACGGAAGACCTAACTCGGGGCTTATCGCATAGGGCACCCACGGCCGTTGTCACATCCTTTGACAAGGAAGTTGATTGCATCATTGCAGATCGTGTGATAAGCAGGAGAGGTGTGCCCAAGTATACAGAGTACTTAGTAAAATGGAAGAACCTGCCAGATAGCGAGGCGAGCTGGGAGCATGAGGATACACTTTGGCAGTTCGCGGAGCATATCCAGCAGTTCAAGCATGAAGACGCAACAAGGGCGTCGCGAGCTTAGGTGGGGGAGAATGTCACGCCCCGCAACCAAGAGGCTACGCCACGCAAACGCCCAGCAGACGATGACATGGAGCCTGCATGGACCGGAGCTTTTTAGACTTCTCTACACAAGTATGGAACTTTCTGGAATTCTCTAGATTAGTGTAGAGTTGTCTAACCTTTTCTAGACTTGTCTAGAGTTGTATAGAATTCTCTAGAATTCTCTAAACTTGTCTTGTACATAGTAGATAGTTCTAGAATTGTGTAGATATTTCTTTGGAGGATTCTAGACACTAAATCTAGGCCACACATTTGTACACATCTAGAATGTTCTTGTAAGGCCAAAGGCCTATAAATAGGAGGTGGGAGTTCATTCGCTCCTCACCAAGCAACCAACTTGTAATCTCTCCTCTCAAGCAATACAAGTTCTATACATTCCCAAACTCTCTTGCTCACTTGCCTAACCTCTTCCTACACACCCAAGTAAGCAAAACACTTGTCTAGCCTTAGTCTTCACTAAGCCAGCACACTCGGGTAGGCTGACTTAGCGCTTCAAGTCATCGTCTAAGTGTCTAAGGCCGCACGGGAGCTTGAAAAGGTTCAAGTTCGTGACAATGTGGTACCATCTGACTATTGAACAACGAAACTTTAACAAATTACATCCAGGGACCTATCTTCTACCAACAGGGAAGTGTACACTTCACATGAAAATTTTGTTCAACAACAATCAATAGTAGAGTCTATACATGAGAATTTTAATCTAACCGAGCATATGAATTTTATAAGATAATGAAAAAGGTATCATGAAACAAAGCAACTAGAGAAATCACCAATAGTTGGTGGTATGAGTACCCAATGAGGAATAGTTACAAACATACATCAAGTCATAGCACATGCTATAACTAATAGTAGGTGGTGTGAGTACTCAACAAGCTTTATATATAAGCCATAGCACATACTATAAGAAAGGGCAAACCCAGTGCAGGTACCACCATTGCAGGTCAAGGGATGGTTAAATTTCCCCGACCTTACCTCCTCCGCATGCAGAGAGGCATTGTTTTTTTTAATTTTGAACTTGTGACCTCCAAGTCACACTAGAGCAACATATGCTATAACCAATATTATGTAATATGAGTCCCCACTAAGGAATAGTATCAAACATACCCAATTGATAACAGTTTGTCTCCGTACATACATAAAGACCAACAATTGATGAAGGGTAGCTGATTATGTTGGCACAAGGACAATGGGCATTAACCGTATGTTCCAAATACTGGGGCATCATCAACCCTTTCAATGAGTTTATACGAACTCTTGGTTTGAAGGTATTTGTGGGTGCCAAGAACACAAATCAGAGAGTAGATTCTGAATTTTTGGAAAAACAATAAAAACCCAAGTTGAATAAGTGAATACCCACTTACCAATTATGATCAAATAAATGATGAGAGCACCAAGATTGGATACGATGACACAAACTTGCAGAGCAACCGATCCAAGCTTCCCAAATGACTCGGCCATGAGGCCACCGTAGGTATTCGACTCGCCGGAATGCGTGTACCTGAGTAGGAACTCCACCGTGACTTCCACCAAGAAAGCAACAATCAGGATCGCGATGAAACCCGGAATTATCCCCAAGACCTTTAGAGTCGCCGGAATCGACATGATTCCGGCACCGACCATGCTCGTGGACACGTTGAAAATCGCCCCGGAAATGGATGCACCGCCCTCCGACCTCCGATGATCTTCCGGTTGAACCTCCGGTAGGAGCGGAACAAGTATTCCGGCATCGCTCTTCCCGGGCTTCATGGCTGCGCTGTCACGGCGCCGGAGAGAGCTTGCCTTTCTTATGCGATACTCCTACAAACATATATTAATTAGATATACATACATACATATATGATCTATACGGCGGGTGCTTGTACCGATTTAGTGCATGAATAATAATTCTAAACTAATTTTAATGGTGCCATTTTTATTTGATGGCCGTATTTTGTCCGGGCAGTGTATATCTAAACAAATGTTTGGCGTGTCATCATGAGGTCCACCCAAGCTATCAAAATTCGAATCCTGTGTAAAAAACAAATGTTTGGGCCATCACTTCTATAACCATTTATTAAGAATTAAATGCATGGAGTTTTACTTTTTAAAAATATTTTTAGCGGATCAAATGTGCCAATCTTATTGACTTCGTACACAAAAGTCTGAAAGCTACGCATTTTATTTTTGATATTTTTATTTTTGTTAAGTACTTCAGTAATAATTGAAAAAATGTGTTGTATTTTATCTATAGTGTGTCATTTGGTACTATAACGATAAACACTAAATAATATTTTTGAAAAATTATTAAATAATATTTTTAAGGGTAAAATGCAAAAAAATTATTAGTTTTTTGCAACTAACCCCTCTTAACTAAAGATTACCCCCATAAACTATTGATTTGTTACAATTAAAAACAAATCCATCACAAAAGACTATTTTACCCCTTGTTATTAAATTTTTTTTTATTATATTTTCTCTTATTTAAATATTAATTATACCATTTACCTTAATTTTACAATTACTATCAATTGATTATAAAAATGAAAAAAAATAAATGAATTTATAGTTATCATTTTCTAAAATGATTAACTTATTATAATAAAGCTTATTATACTCACTTTAAAAAAATTAATAAATTACGTAAATAAAAAATATCTTCTTTTTAATGCAATATATTCATGAAAATTAATAAATTACTTAAATTGTTTCAAAATTTTCTATTTACGATTTTTATTTAAATAATTAATTAAAAAAATTAAAGGCAAACTTACGCAAATTTAATGGATAATATTTCATCAAATTAATATGAATTTTTTTCATCATTTATTTTAATAAGAAAAATATATCAAATGTAATTCAATAAGAAAGAGTATTAGGGTATTATGGTTATTTAATGAAAAATAGGTAAGACAATGAGGCATTTTGCAACTAAATGTGATAGTTTAGGGGGTTTTATGCACAAAACATAGTTCAGTGGGATTATTTGCAAATTTAGACATAGTTGAGGGGGGGGTTTTGCACTTTACCCTATTTTTAAACTAACCATTATCTTTTTCAAATTTACATCGATTTTTTCTCAAATATATTTTTATATTTTTTTCTTTCAAAATTCTTGCGAACATGCTTTCGATTGTTATTTAAAACACTTTATAAGAGTATCTCCAATAGTATCTCAAATGGGCTCTCAAACTCAAAATATCAGGTGGATGAACATAAGGCACTCCAATGGTCTCTCAAAAGATTTATCATATTTTGAGATTCTCAAATGTATTCTCAAATATATCAGCTCTCAAATGGCCTCTCAAACTCAAAATATAGCAAGTAGATTAAAATAGGCACTCCAATGGGCTCTCTCAAAAGATTTTTCATATTTTGATGTTGTTAAAATAAGACACTTCAATGGGTTCTCAAAATATGACATAGTTATTGTGTCAAACAATAGTATTTTGGACGAAATGTACCATTGGAGCAAAATTAAAAAAATATAACATTTTGACATTATAATTCCTCTCAAAATATAAATTTAGCATGGAAATATAGCATTTGGCTTGTAAATGCTCTAACAAAATACTTATTTTATTTAAGGTTAAAACAAAACGTCTACTCTAACTTAGTACATAAAGTGTGCGACTTTAAAAATGGGTTAAATGTATTTTTTTTTCTGTATTTTTAAGAAAATAAAAATAGTGAGAGTTTAGTAAATATGTTTGGAGAGAGGGAAAAAAGAGTTGCGGAGAGATTGGCCTGGGGACATCATCCATATTGATAGAGAGATTGATTTTTTTTTTTTTTTTTTTTTTTTTTTTTTTTTTTTTTTATCGAGAGCAAGAAACAAACAGAACCAAGAACAAGAAAAAACAGAAAAACACCAAGCATCTCAACCAAGAAAAGACCCAAGATCCTTTGGCAATAACAGAGAGGAGCCATTTGGGCCAAACAACCCACGAAAGATCCGATGATCGAGAACGGAGAGAAGACCGGTTGATGGCATGAGCCACTCCATTACAGGAACAAGGCGACCAAAGCAGAGAGCAGTTCACCAAATTGCCCAACAGAAAACGAATATCCTCAAACACAGTTGAAAGGGAAGAGGCTTGGGAAGAAAGGGTCATAACGGGCAAACAGTCTCCCTTTATATCCACATGGTGATATCCCCAATCATGCAAAAGGGAAATACTCTCCCGGAGAACAACAACTTCAGCCATCTCGGCCGACCCAATAAAAGGCTTAAAAAAAGAGGTAATCTTCAAAGGATGGCCAGAGGAATCCCTGAGGATAAGACCCCCTCCACAAACGCTAGAGGCAACATAGAAAGAAGCATCGCAGTTGAGTTTGACACGACCCAAAGCAGGAGGAACCAAAATTAGACACTAGTCAAGGTTATAAAAAAATTAGACAGGCATGGCATTTTCTAGACCACAAAAAAAAAAAATTATATAAGGAAATAGCAAAATTAATAAAAGTAGCAATACAACTGAACTTTGTGAACGCGTCACTGTGATAAGATAGGCTTTCATTGTTTCATAGCAATATACACGTGTTGCGATTGTTGTGTAGCACCTGCCAAGATTTTGGCTCACCCTTCAAAATTAATACTGGTACATATGCGATGTATATATGGTCGTATATGTATATATATATATATATATATATATATATATATTTATTTATTTATTTATTTATTTTTATTCTACTTCATGCATCCAAATAGGGCTGCAAATGAACCGAGCTGTTCATGAACAGCTCGGGCTCGGCTCGGGCTCGTTCATTAAGCAAACGAGCCGAGCTTGAGCCCAATTTCTAGGCTCGTTTATTAAATGAGCCGAGCCTGAGCAACGTTGGGCTCGGCTCGCATAGGCTCATGAATATGGGCTCGTTAAGGCTCGTTAGGACTCGTGAACAAAGCTCGTATCAGGCTCGTTACATATATCAGGCCCATTCTATATATATCAGGCCCATTTGTTTTTATTGTACATTTAAAATGTTTAGTCTATATTATTTTTAAGTTTGGCCCAGCTCATATTTTTCATTAATATGGCCCAAGCATTATAATTCACTAGCCTAAAGAAAATCCACCATAGATCCATAGCCCAAATAAGATTTCGTCTCACCCATTAAATTAGAACCCATTTCATTCGTTGATTTTGTAAGATATCAAAAAACCCTAAAACTACACCCCACCATTCAGATCTGTCTCTTCTCCACAACATCGTCAGTCTCTCTCTCTCTATCACTCACTCACGAGTTACGAATCAACTCCACCGGCGACGACAACCCTTCCATCTACACAACTACCTCTCTGTCTCTCTCTAATCAACTCAATCGCCATAACTCTCTCTCTCAAATCTGAACGCATCATCTGTCATCGTCATTGTCGGCCACGGTCCTCTGTCTTCGCCATGGATGTCGTCCGTTTCCCGCCGTCGTCTATGCCGCTGTCCCTCTATCCTCGTCATCATCGTTGGCCATCCTCTGTCCTCGCCATCAATTAGGTACTGCATCAATTAATTTTTTGGCAAAACTTTATTTTCACTTTAATTCCATGGATCTGGACAACCTCAAAACATTCTTTAGGCAGTTGCAGAAAATTTTGTTTAGCCTTTTCTTCTGCTTCTTCTAAATTTATGGAGACTAATGTTCAATGGCCATAGGTAGCTAAATTAATTTATCTCCAACTTATTTTCCTCTGTGATTTCTTTTTCTACTTAATATATACAATGTTTCAGTGGTTCCATAGATATTATTATCATGGGAATTTATAACTTTTTGATGTGTTGTATTTTCATAGAAAATGCATAATGCACTCATGCTCAATTTTGTCCTTTTTTCTTTTTTCGAAATTAACCCTTAATTTGTTCTTGAAACATAAAAGGTTGCACTACTGCACCTTTTTTTTTTTTTGCCCTTTTTCTTTTTGCTTATGTGATAATTGATAAAGCAATGGAAAAAGGTATTGTGGCCTGTAGAATACCAATTAATTTTGAATTTTTTTTTTTTTTTTTTTGTTAAACGAGCCGAGCCCGAGCTGAGCTCGAGCTTTTAAAATCAAGACAAGCCCGAGCCCGAGCTCAAATTTTTGAGCTCGTCATGAGTCGAGCCCGAGCCCGAGCCCGAGCTGATCCCATAAACAAACGAGCTGAGCCCGAACAGCCTAAAGCTCGGCTCGGCTCGGCTCGACTCATTTGCAGCCATACATCCAAATATAAATGTCTTTTTTTTAGAATTTAAGTTTTCAAAAAATGAGTTTTTAATATTTTTATTATATTAATAATGAATGAATTATTAAATTTATTCATAGTGAGTCTGTCCCACATGAATATGATGATTTATTTTTTTATAAGGTCAATATAAAAAAATTAAATTGTTATATATATATATATATATATATATATATATATATATTATGGAGTAGTACTTGGACTTTTAATTATGACATTTATTTTGAAACAGCTAAAAGTAAAAAACAGTGAATATTTATTTTGAGATAGAATGAGGATGCATGTTTCTTGTTAAATTGGTAGGCAGGGAGGAATAACATGGGCATAGCATTGAAACATGTATTTTAGAGAATTTTTATTTTTTTATTCTCTCATTTAAAAACACAAAAGGAAAACATTACCACACAACATCTTCATTTTTTGGTTGATTTCCTTGATTTTCCATTTTCTTTTTATTTTAATTTTTTGTTTGTGTAATTAATTGTATTTAATTTTAGTTGGTGGACCATCAATTGTCAACTAAACTTTGGTAAGAAAATTTGAGTATAATTTAAAACCCCAAAAAATTATTTGAAGAGAATTTCAAGTTGGGGAGTTATAATTACGGGAGAGATTTAAAATATGAAAAGGCAATAAAAGCTGGACAACATTATGTGATGAACCTCTATGTATTCTCATATGGGGAGGGGGAAGTATTATATTTGTTGTGACCGTGGTCGTTGTCATTATGAAATATTATGAATGATGATTTGTCACCTTTCTTATGAGTTTGTGATTTTTACAAATAGCAATGCACTTATGTTACGAATAGTGTGTAAAAATAAAATAGAATGGTTATTCTTATTTTATTATTTGGTGTAAATATAAAATGTGTAAGAATTGAATTATAATAATCATTTTAGTGTTTGGTTGGACTAATTTAAAATTTAGAATTAAATAAATTTCAAATTGAATTCTCTAAAATCTCTCTCTTAGTAACAAATAAATTAAATTAACAAAATAACATTCTTGTATAATTTTTTAAAAAATAAATGGTGGTAGTGGCGGTGGTGGATGGTGGTGACGATGGTGGTGGAAGTGGAAAGCAGTAGTGATGTTGGTGGTGGTTTTGGAAGGCGGCAGTGGTGGCAATGGTGGAAGGCGGCGATAGTGGTGGAAGGCGGCAGTGGTGTTGGTGGAAGGCGGTGGTGGTAATATGGTGGTGGTGGTGGTGGTGGTGATGGAAGGAGATAGTGGTGTATGTGACGGTGGTAGAAAGCAGTAGAGGTGGTGGTGGAAGGTGTGACGGTGGCAGTGGTGGTGAAAGGCGGTAACGATGGTAGAAGGTGGTGACGGTGGCAGTGGTGGTGGTAGAAAACGATAGTGGTGGAAGACTGTAGCGGTGGTGGCAGTGGTGGAAGACTGTGGCGGTGGTGAAAGGCGATGACGGTGGAAGGTAGCGGTGGTGAAAATGGTGGCTGTGGTAAAAGGCGAGACGGTGGTGGCGGTGGAAAACGGTGGGCGGTGGTGAAAGTCGATAATGGTGGTGATGGTGGAAGGTAATGGAAGTTAGTGGTGGTAAAGACGGAGGTGATTGTGGTGGAAGGTAGTGGTAATTTTTGGACTTAAAACATGAGGGTTTTTTGAAAAGCTTATTTTTTTAAAAAAAAATTACTTAGAAATGGAATGGTTTTTCCTTAGATTTAGTTGTGGAATGGATTTTCATTCCAATGGAATGACTATTCTCACTTTAAATTGCATATTAAACAAAGAAATAATTAGAATAGACATTTCATTCATACACAACAAACACAACATAAATTTAGAGAGTAATCCTATTTCTCTCGAGACTCTTTTTTTTTTTTTTTTTTTTTCAGGATATGAAACTCAAACACTAGCCGTCGTGAAAGTGACCTACCTATTAAGCATTATAAAACATTAACAAACTTTTTGAGGGAAAGAGAGAGATTAAAAAAAAAAATTAATAATAATAAAAATAAAATTATTATTATTGCCAGTGATATTTTATGTAATGTCAGAATGTTATCAATAAGATTTGGATTTTTTTTTTTAACTCCAAACTGAAGAACTAACATTAAAAAGAAGAAGATACATAATCGGAAAACAGAGCATTTAACAACCATGAAGGCCATGTACTCCACTCTAAATAGCCACAAGCGGCTTTAAAAGCATGTTTGCTCAACAAGTGAGCAACCAAATTTCCTTCATGAGGAATCCATGCTAAGGACGAACCAACACAGTCTTTAAGCAGAAGGAGAATATCGCTGAAAATTACATGAAAAGCATCAACCGAAGCAACCAACCTCATAACAGACTGATAATCACCTTCCACAATCACTTTATGATAACCCCAATAGCGTAGCTGAACAAGAGCCTCTCGAAAAACCAGACCCTCGGCCATTGAAGGAGAGCTCACATTTTCAAGAAAAATGGTGGCCACCTTTACAGGATGACCATGATGGTCTCGAAGAATCAAGCCCCCACTACAGGAGCGACGGATGGGACTGAATAAGATTTGGATGATTGATTGAAAAAGTGGGTTTGGCTATAGTCTTTTCTAGAATGTTATTAATAATGAAATGAAAATAATAGAGTTATTGTTGTTTGTTGTTGATTTGTGAATCTGAGGTTGAGATTGTTGATCACCTCTTTTGTACATGCCCTTTTGCGTGTAAGGTGTGGAAACTTAGCCCTCTACGCCTAGATTTTTTTGATGCACAGTCGTCATTCTAGCCAAAGTGCTGGGCTGGGTTGGTGGACGGTTGGGTGCAATGTGATGCTCCTTTAGATTGTTCTAGTTTGGCGGCGTTTATTTGTTGGACCATTTGGAAATGCATGAATGATCTGGTGTTTAATCGCAAACGGTGGGATCCATTTAAAGCTTCTCAGCAAGCTTTCACTGCTTTTGGCGAATTCTTAGAAGTGTCTCGCCAACATCGCTTACTTACTTGTCCTAAAGTTCCTCTTCCTTGCCATCCGGGGCGGTGGGCTGTTCCAGCTTTGGATTTTCTAAAGTTGAATTTTTATGCAGCTTTCAACAGTTCTTGTCATTTGTGTGGTGGTGGCTTAATACTTCGCAACCATTTGGGCCAGCCGATTAAGGTTGCTTTGGTGTTTCTTGATAATGTTAGTAATCCTTCGCTTGCAGAGAGTTTGATCCTACGGGTGGCTTTATTGTACTTCAAGCGCTGGGGTTACTGTGGTGTGGTTATTGAAGGGGATTGCCAACATGTTATGCAGTTGAAGGTTTCTGAGATAACCCAGTTAATTATCTTCAATGATGTTCATCTTCTTCTCCGGGAATGTGTGGGTTCGTCCCTTTCGTGGGTTCCTCGTTCGGGAAATAGTGTAGCTCATCTATTGAGCAAGACGGCTCTAAAAGCCGAGTGTAGTGATGCGAAGTGGAGCGTTTGGCCCTCGTGATTATTATACGCTCTTCTTCCGAATGTGTTCCATCTTCTCTTGTTTGATATATATATATATATATATTTTTTTTTTTTGGGAAAAAAAAGATTGCATCCTATGTGACTTGTAGTGCTTGCCCTACTTATATAAAATAATGGATAAAAGGAAGTTAGTTTTCTTAACATATGACTACAGGATCATAGACAATTTGCATGGCCCATTGGGTTCCACTTTGGGAATTTGGGAGCACTTTATGAAGATAACATATGACTATAGGATCAGTCACCATACAAATAAAAAATTCTTGTTTCCTCCATCATAAATTAGTGTTCATGTTTTTTATTGTTGAGACGTCTCAAAATAAATTTTTTGCTTTTGCAAAGTTGACATTCTCTATATATATTTTTAATTAGTTTTAAACGATTACTAAATCCTTGATTTGATTAGACCGTCCCACGCCTCTTTATAAAATGCACACTTTTTTTTTTTTTTTCTAAAACTAAATAATGCAACTCATTATACTTTATTATCATGAAATAAAGGATAATAATGTCAGATGGGGTGCATTTATGATTTAACAAGTTTAGTGTATATATATACGGAGTATATGATATACTCCGTATTTGTGAATATATATATATTTATACATATATATAGTAGTGCATAAATAGAGGGCTAGTTTTGTAATTTCAAATGCAGACATCACAAAGAAGGGCAAAATGCTCTATCTTTTTGGCTGATCGCGACACACATGTCAACGTGTCGAACTCATCGGTAATGGACAATTTTGAAAGCTTACCTAAAAAAAAAAAAAAAATGGACTGTTTTGAAACACATTTTAAGTTCATTTTAATTAGACTAATAATTTTTTAAGTTTACCATTTTATTAATTCAAAAATGGTCCAACCAAAGTTACCAAACCCTTTGTCCTCTCCGGTAACCTCTTCACCTATCCAGGAGTGTGCTTGACCTGCTGGTTTGTTACGTCAATTACTATTACACATAATAAGATTTTGATTTTAATTTTAATTTTATTTTTTTAATAATAAAAAAACAACTCACCCGTTAATTACTTTAAACTTTCAAATAATTTATAAATTTTAAATATGCACAATCACTTATAAATCACCCATATCATTTAAACACGTGCATTTTTGTGTCTTGTAAGAATTCAATTCAAGATAATATTGCGAGTCTGTTAACTTTTTCGATTGTCTAAATTAAAATTTTCCAATTTTCCTCCTAACACTTTTATATTTTATTTTTATTTTTAAGCACCCATTGTATATTACCAAAGCCAACGGAGGTAAAATTATGAAAGAATTTATCCTTTTTAATATAAATATATTTTTTATGGGCTAATACCAACTTTGAATTCGTTCAACTAAACTAAAGTAGGTGTTAGAAACATGTAATATAGATTTACATTGCTTAAATGTCTCCCAAAAATTTTAAAAAAATTAAAAAATGAAACAGAGCAATAGAGATGAGCAAATCTTTAGATGTTTTTGAGGCCCAAACTTGACTATCTCAGAATTGTCAATTTTTAGGGGAATATGGAACCCTAAATTTTTTTATCATTTAAGTTGATGTAACCACTTTCTAACCCAGTCTTTTAGAAACACTGTACCAAAGCATCCGATATTTAGTTGAATTATTTCAAATTTAGTCAAATTGAATTGAAGAAAAATTATTTTAGCGTTTGGACTATAATCTGTAACAAAATCTGATGATGTAGATGGCTAAACCTTTAAATTTGAAATTTGAAATTTTCTATATACCTTCTTTTATTTATTTATTTTTTTTCACAATGATTTAACAATACATTCCTGAATTTACCTTCAATTCCCTAAATTAAAATAGATTTACCCAATAGTCTAGTTAGTAGAGAAATTAGTTTCTCGAGTAGTGTGCCCATCAAGCCTCCTCCGCCTTATTTGTCAAGATAAAACCAAAAAAAAAAAAAAATTATGGTGAAATACTGAGGTTTTAGATTGCAAAGAAACCACAGTTCCACACCGAGACAGCCCAGTCCAAAATTTTTTACTTTTTATCTTGATAATGGATAGTTGTTAGTGATAACTAACAAGCGAGGAGAGGGGATCCAACTCAAAATTCATCGAATGGACTCTAAAGGCCTCACATTTACTACTCGGACTGCACCACACTTAGCATAGCCAAGAATTGAACCGGCTTGCTGCCAAAAATCTATGGAATAAGTGTGGGCCCGCTAATTCAACTGCTTTGACAAAACCCACCAAAATGATTCATTGAGAAGTCCAGGTCAAGTTCGGCCTCTAGCCAAATCCACCCAATTTTCATGCCCAGTCACATTTCATCCACGCGATGGGTGATAAAGAACCCCATTACAACTTTTTATTATTATTAGTTTTCTTTTTTGAGAAATTTGGTGAGATTCCATTAGAACTGCAAGACTCGTAAAAGTGACATATATATTCATAAAAACATAATAACGAGCCTTTCTCAGTGGTTTAATTGTTACATTTAATTGATTATTTTGAATAATTTCATTTATTTAAGATAAAATGTCACATGACCTAGTTAAGATGTTATGATCTCCCCTTTCAAAAGAGACTCCATGAAGAACGTGTTATGAAGGATGTCAAAAGTATCGGGATTTATTTATCTATTTATTTTTTTATTAGTGCAGCAAAAGAAAATTAAAATTGTCAAATGTAGAAATGCGAGTTAGGTCACTTTATATAAAATATGTTTTAAATTAATGCATTGGGCTTTGTTTTAGAATGAGCGCTACACGACTGGGCTTGGTTTGGGCATGTCAAACCTACAAAATTCAGTCCGTCCCAAACTCAAACCCAAGTCCAAACCCAACCCAGTAGAAGCCTTACCTTCGAAGATTCAAAGCACTGATATGTCGCCAAGCATGAAAAACTGCGGGCTTCCTTGGATTACCAAAACCTCCTGTACTGCGACTTTCTTTCCTTTTCCATTTCCTTCTCTTTCCCCTTCCTTTTCCTTCTCGTTCAGTGTGCCATTCATTCGTTTCTTCAACTCTCTCTGAAACGATCTCCAAAGATGAGCGGCCAAATAGCGAAAGGAGAAGATTTCGAGAGGAAAGCGGAGAAGAAGCTCAATAGCTGGGGCATCTTCGGTTCCAAACACGAAGACGCCGCTGAATTGTTCGATAAAGCTGGCAATTGCTTCAAACTTGCAAAATCATGTAATTACTCTCACCTTCTCATCCATCAATTATCGTTTTCTGAGCATTGTTTCTGTCCGATCAAAGAAAATGCGGAATTCTCTTTTTTTATTATTTGTGGATTTTCATTTGATTTAGACATGATCGATGTGTTTTCTGATGGAAATTTTAAAATCTGGTTCTGAATCGGATAAGAATGATGGTTTGATTCGGTGTTTTGGTCATCAGATGTGTTGTTTTTGGATTGGAAATGATGAAACTGATAAAGCTTTATTATTTGTGTATAAATTTGTGTGTGTCGTTTATTTTTATATAATTTTACGATTTTTTTTTAGGCTTGACTTGGATGTGTTCTGGACAGATTGAGAAGTAAAATTTATTTCATATTTTGGATATTCATTTGAAGGAAGAATTAGAGTTCCTTTAATGATTGAAAATAAAATTCAGATGTCTATATTCGGTAATTGTTTTATTGACCTTGTGTTTGGGGCACGAATTCGTGCCTTGGATTTGGAATTGGAAGAAATTTAGTTCAAAATTTAAACTGAATTTTCTCCAATTCCAAATCAAATTAGTTCAAAATTTAAACTGAATTTTCTCCAATTCCAAATCAAATGTGTCCATTCAGTGCTCCCAGACATAGTATGAATGATATCATTTCGATGTTAGACTTTTTCTGCTTGAGGGACTGAAATAAGTTATTATCATTTTTTTTTTTTTTTTTTTTTTTTTTTTTTTTTTGTGATAAGTAAGAATATGAAATAAGTTATTATCATTAAGGAAAAAAAGAAAGATTGACAATTGCTTATATCATGTGTTCTCTCAGGGGACCAAGCAGGAGCAGTTTATATCAAGTTAGCGAACTGTCATCTGAAGGCAAGTGCTTAATCTATTTATTTTTATCAAAATTGTAAATGATATTTTACTATAATCCAGTATGATGCTGTTGGCTTCTGATTATAGTTGGATAGCAAACATGAAGCTGCGAATGCATATGCCGATGCTGCTCATTGCTATAAGAAGACAAATACAAAAGGTATTTATGGTGTTCACTTCCATGTACGATATTCCTCAATTCATGAGATTAGAATATATGTAACCCTTCCATCCAGAATTATGTCGGACCAAATTGACTTATTTCGCATTTTAGAATAAACAAAATCATAAGACATACACCAGGTGTTTGAAAATACAGAAGGATCGCTTTTCTTATTCTTCTTCTTCTTTTTTATTTTTATTTTTTATTTTCACTGTGAATCACCTGTAATGTGCTCTTTGTTTTTCAGAATTGCCATGGAGACATTTATGTGTCGTGTCTTACCTGTGTCCGGTGTCTTTATTCTTACATGCTGTTATTACTCGGAACATATAATTCATATGCGTAGTTTTTTGCACGGTGATGTATGACAATGCTAAAATTTATAACAGATCCTCTACAGTGGCTTAGGTTGAGGAAAAGTTTAAGATATAAAAAATTTAGGATGGGAGGGATTGAGTCAGATAGGTATAACAGATCCGACATAAATTAATTTTTTTCACATGCTTATAAAAAGGTTAAAGACTCTGCTGTTACCTTCAACCATGTTGGGTGGTTCGTCTTAGCCTTGTGATGCTTTTTCTTTTTTAATTGTATTCTTTTGAGCTTCCAATGATACTATCACATGAATTGTTAGCCTCTTCTTTCATTATGATTATTATTATTTTCCATTTTAGCTAGAATAATTTATGCTCCTCTTTAACATTGGATGCTTTGCAGAGTCCATAAATTGCCTAGAGCAAGCTGTAAATCAGTTTCTCGAAATTGGAAGGCTTAATATGTCTGCAAGATATTACAAGGTACTATCCATACTGGTTTGTGAGTAAATATTGTTTTACTTGATACAATAATAAAAAACCTGATTACCTACTCATATTTTGTTATATTTGGGATCTCTAATCTATCAAATTCTTGGTTGAGTTCTCTAGATTGTAGGATCCTGTATATGAACAAAATTTCCTTTAATGTCACCTTGTTTGCCATAATTTTAAGCTGCATAGTCATTGATGTTTGACTCCTGCAAATTATGATTATGTAGAATACACTTGTATGATTTGTTGCTCGGGATGATGCAATAAAAGTTGTGAAAAATGATGACGTGGAATACTTTCTTCATGTGCAGGAAATTGCTGAATTATATGAGGCTGAACATAACTTTGAGCAGGCTATTGTTTATTTTGAGAAGGCAGCTGATCTTTTCCAAAGTGAGGATGTAACAACTTCTGCAAATCAGTGTAAGCAAAAAATTGCTCAGTTTGCTGCTCAACTGGAACAGTAAGTGTTACTAATATTAGATATATGTCTCTTGTGGAGTTACATGACATCTTAAAACTATATGTTATCGCTTTCATTTTATGATGCATGCATTATTTCTGTTTTAACCCCTTATCTGGATAACCCTGTTACATGAACTCATTCATTTGTCTCCACAGTATGACAGTACCTATGCCGACATGATCCATCCTGAGCCCGAGGTACATAGTGATGTTTCTTGTTGAGCTGTTGATAATTGTCAGCCTGGTAGTTGTAATCCAGTAACTGGCCTTGCTCCGACTAGGCATGAACCCCGTCTCCTGGTTCTACCTTTAGAAAACAGAGGGAAAGAGAGGGGAAGGAGGAGGCCCCCGCGGGGGGGTTGAGGGATACGGGTATAATAGGCCTAGGGCATGAACATGTTCCAGGAAGGAGGAAGTCACTTTATCTTCAATTGCACATAGAGTACTAACTCTACTCTTAAATTAAAGGAATTGGAAGGAAAGGAAAAAGCTTAATAGTTTATTATGAAAATGAAGAAAAGGAAGAATAGCTTAACCTCTTAAAGAATGATACTATATCCTTCCAAAAATGGGAGGAAATGTGGGAAGGATAGAGTTATTTGATCATCTGTTTTGCCCCTGTTTTTCTCTCACAAGCGAATTCATGTTTTGTCCGTTGTGAACAATAATTTTTATTTTATTATTATTATTTTTTTCCGTTTATTTTTTATACTTAGGGCCAATTATACAAAATGATGGAGATATTGATGATGAAAATGAAGAAAAGGAAGAATAGCTTAATCTCTTAAAGAATGATACCATATCCTTCCAAAAATGGGAGGAAATGTGGGAAGGATAGAGTTATTTGATCATCTGTTTTGCCCCTGTTTTTCTCTCACAAGCGAATTCATGTTTTGCCCGTTGTGAACAATAATTTTTATTTTATTATTATTATTTTTTTCCTTTTATTTTTTATACTTGGGGCCAATTATACAAAATGATGGAGATATTGATGATGATATAAGTAATAAAATCGAAAGAGGGTTGACAAAGCGGAGGGACACTAGTGGGGTTTTATGCGATAAACAAATACTCCCTTTGTCTCAAAATAGTTGTCCATCTTTGAAATTCAAACTTTTTAAGGGGACAAACATTTAATGCGTTATCCTCTTTTAAAATTCCAAAACTATCCTTCAAAAAGTAGTGTTAGTATGAATAAATTTTCAAAAGCGGAGGATAGTTTTGGAAGTATGCAACCTTTTTACATTGAGGGACAAGAATTTTGGGACATCCCAAAATGGAAAGATTGACTAGTATTATGGGACGAAGGGAGTACCAAATAAGTTAAAAGGGAAAGTATATAGAATGGTCATTAGACCAGCTATTTTATATAGAGCGGAATGTTAGGGGTTAAAAAAGAAACACGAAACACCGCATCCATGTGGCGGAAATGCAAATGTTAAGATGGATGTAATGAGTAATTGGGAAAGCTAATATTAATAATCAAGGGATTAGAGAGAAATTAGGTATGGGCCTATGGCACCATTTAACGAGAAAATAAGAAAGAGTAGACTTATATGTGATAAGGACATATTCAACATTGACCAATAGATGCACCAGTAAGGAGAGGAAGATTGATTTGGATAAAAGGTAAGTGACAAAGAGGTTGACCAAACTAACATGGAATGAAGTGATAAGAAATGCTTTTAAAAAAATAAATCTAGCAGGAGAAATGGCTTATGATAGAAAAGATTGTAAAAAGATAATTCATGTGGCCGACCCTGTTTGTACGGGATAAAGGCAAGGATGATGATGATGATTTTTTTCCTTTTACATCCACTATCTTCTCCAAATGCAATGAAGGATTACTATTTTTTCCTTTATTTTCCCTCAATTATACAAACACAAGGAGATCTCAACATTATTCTCCCACCTCATTTCTTTTCTTTTCTTTCATAATTACTATTATTCTCTCTTTTCTTTTTTCTAAGTTCGTGCAAGTCAAATAAGTGCTGGACATCATGAATTAGGTGGCAAGTTGTTTGCCAATATATGGGAGTGATGTCATAGAAACCTAAGCAGCTGTAACGCTGCTTTAGGCACTTTTATAGTCTGGTCAGCACCACTTTTGTTTATGTTTTTTTGGCCACCACTGCCTATATCATATCAATATCTTTGCTCCATGCTCGAACTTCAAATTTCTTTGCTTTGTGCTCGAACTTGGACTTGGTTGCAAAGATGTTGTCCTGTTATCTCTATTACTTTAACCAAAATCCTTTTGCTATTTTCTCACTGACACAAGTAGTGATTTTTACACGGTTGACACTTGCAAGCATTCCATGTCTAGGTTCACTGAAACACATGTTCCACACCTTTAAGGGGCTTTTAAGGCTAGTCTCCTTATATCAAACCTGGCTGGATTTGAATGTAATCAAAGAGTGATGAGGATATTTATTTTTTTGGATCTGAATCTTGAGCTCATCAAACTTTTGCATATATTCTTTCTTCAGTGTCATGATACCTTGTATGAGATTGACAAGTATACATAACTTGTTGATTGGATGGACGTGCTTTTCTCAGGACTTTTCCTTCTTTTCTTGCTAAGTAGATTTGGCCATATTGGCGGTTATCTCAATTGTCTTATGGTGCTTTCAACACTGTTGCACCAAACTTTTGTGAGACCTATAAACTTGATATTTTTGAACTCCGCTCTTCTTTCATCTAACATACAATACCAATCAAAATACTTCATTGTAGGCAACAGATCAGCAGATTGTAGGATTGAGTCTTCCGTCAAAGTTTTGCATGTCAATCTTCACATTCTTTATGAATTTTCGTTATGTCACGAGGCTCGTAGTAGTCTCTCTCAATCACGGATCAATTCCAGTCAAGTTCGTTGTGCTGTCCTATCAACCATGACTTCTGTTTTTGAACCAGATTAGGTGGCTGTTTCATTTGCACCCCTTTGTTCCATTTGTGATCCATCTTGTTTAGCATCTTTCCCCTTGTTAGTGTTGCATTTTGAAGATTTCAGTTCAGTATTGGCTACTGAGTTACTCGTAAATCCTTGATTTGAGTCCTCCCAAATGAATGTTTGGGCCAAGTAATTTCTCCACTGATTAAAGAGGTAGCTTGTCTCATTGATATCGGTTAAATCGCTTGAATAAAATTATTCCTTTCAGCACCAAAAATGAATGAACTGCTTTGTGGAAAGAACTTGGATGTTTAAGACGAAAGATAGGAGACAGAGGCCTAGGCATTTTACACCTAGGTTCTTAGTAGTTACACCTAAGGCATTTTACACATGACAAAATTTTGGGTCTTAAAAATTTTCTTTGTCTGTCTGAAAAATGAATGAACTGCTTTGTGGAACGAACTTAGATGTTTAAGACAAAAGATAGGAGAGAGAGGCCTAGGCATTTTACACCTAGGTTCTTAGTAGTTACACCTAAGGCAATTTACACGTGACAAAATCTTGGTTCTTAAAAGTTTTCTTTTGCCTGTCTCAAAAGAAAGCCAAAACCTCATTATATATAGGTGACAATGGCTTGGAAACCAAGAGAACTTAATGACCAGGGTGGTAGATAATCTTGGTGAGCAATTAAGAGCTGCTGAGATTTGAAGTTTGAACCTTCTCTAAACCAATCAAATCTGATCTACACAAGTATTATTTACATCAATAGAGTAATGCAAATTAAATGTAATATTTGAATTGACATCATTATGGCTTTGTTGTTGATGTAAAACTTCGATGATGAATTGAACAGTTTGTTGATAGGGATATAATATGCTTGCATTTATTATTCAGATACCAGAAATCAATCGACATTTATGAAGAGATAGCACGACAATCGCTGAGCAATAACTTGCTGAAGTATGGAGTTAAAGGACATCTTCTTAATGCTGGCATTTGCCAACTCTGTAAAGGCGATGTAGTTGCGATTGGCAATGCATTAGACCGATATCAGGTTAAAGTTTGGCGCATATCAAGCATCTTCAATTTTTATCCTATGGCTTAGGTATATTGTATGAATACGGCATTTGCATTTGCAGGAACTGGATCCAACGTTTTCAGGGACACGCGAGTACAAATTGCTGGTGGTATGTAATAACTTGTAAAACTATTGTTAATCTATTTCTTTTGCATTTTCCTTTTGAAATGGTGAATTATTCTATCTAGTTGGTGGAAAGTGGGTTGATAGAAGTATATTGAACTGCTTATTTCATTGTTTTCTTTCATTTCAAGTGCATACTTCTATGGATTTTTATCAACAGCTTAACATCTTATATGCTTCCTCTCTTAGGTGGTTTTTCGATAATACTATTATTTTATCTTTATATCATTGGGATAACAGAAATTTAGCTTAATATGGAGATTCTATTCTTATGGCAGGATTTGGCTGCTGCAATTGATGAGGAGGATATTGCAAAGTTTACTGATGCTGTGAAGGAATATGACAGCATGACCCAGCTGGTAAATTTTATTTCTAATTCCACATAGAACACTTCCAATCTTTTGATTGATTGCGAGACTAGGTCTTCCTCAAGTTAGTTTAGTTATGTCCTTTAACCCTTCAACCCTTTTATACAATATTCTAAGAGTCCCCATTTTCTCTGAAGATTCTTGTAGTCGTATTTGTTTTTAGCAAGCATAGCTGAAAGTATTGATATTGTGAAGGATGAGTAGCAATAGGAAGTAAAGATTTGAAAACAATAAAAAGCATCTGTGAGAAACTAATGGTGTCACTTATTAAAGGAGAAAAGGTGTTAATGGTTTGCCACGTGCTAACATTACGGAGTAAATGATGATAAGAAAGGACCCGGGTTGAGTCTGAGAAGAGAATATATCTGTATGGAGAATAGACTTGATAGAAGATACGATTCTAACCGGGCTGCATGGGGTAAAAGGATTCATGCCAATGGTAGTTTGTTCGAACACGAGTTTGTTGAATTAAAAGTAATATGAGGATTTATAGTTTATCTTTGCATGATCTTGTCGGTATTTATACATTTCCACTGAAGTCACTTCTGTTCCTCGATCTAATTGATATGCAAACTAGTATTGGATTGAATTTATACCATGTGTTCACTTGAAAGTTTTGCGATTCTTCTATTTTAACTACAAAAAATTACAATGTCCTTGACTGTTTTTTCCTTCGATATGATGTTGCTTCACAGGATGCTTGGAAGACAACCCTTTTGTTGAGAGTGAAGGAATCGCTGAAGGCTAAAGAACTGGAGGAAGACGATCTTACTTGATTCTTTTATTCTTTGTGTGTTATGCTGAGTGAATTTCGATTTGTTGATTTTGGTGTACTGGGTGGTTGTGTCTCTTCATGCTTATTTACACTGTTTTTTTTGTGTGGTGCTAATCAGAGTGCATTTGCTGCTATTGTAAGCATGAGTTTGTAATACAATTATGGGTTTGATTTGCTACCTGTGGGTCACATAGGAATTTGTATGCTGAAATGAAGCGTAGAGTCGATGTAGGAAATAATTGAACCGATTGAATCTAAGGACCATTATCTTGCAAGTTATAGGTATTACCGTATTAGTAAGAACAAAATAGCCCCTTATGATGAGTTCACAATATTGGCTTTTGAAGTGAAAATTGACTAGTCACACTAACGTTTGATTGGATTGAATGCACTTAATTAATGCTGTCCTGGCTAGTGACCCGTTGAAGTAAAAGATTCATTTTTTTGATTTGATTATTAGGAGGAGATTGGTATGAGATTTATACAAAGGTTATGTACATTTAAGGAGTTAGACATTTTAGCAATTAAGTCATGTTTATTTGCTCCATATAAGAATTATACCATAGTGGAAAGAGGGCGATGATATGGACGTTTACGGTAGCTGAGCCAACTGGCAGGTCAAAATCTCAATAATGAGTTTCATTAATAACCACACAGAGAGAGAGAGAGAGAGACAGAGTATGTGTGTGTTTCATTACCATTTAACAAGCATAATCATGGGCCACGGGGGAGACAAATTGAATAGAGAGGTATTGATAACCCCCATCAACATCAACTGCCACACTTTAAACAAAGAAAGGACATAAACCCCAACCCATAGGTGATAAAACTAAAAGTAACGGACGCGTGTCCAATACTTATTTGGGCCTCCATCGGACGCGTGTCCAATACTTATTTGGGGCCTCCATCTTTTTATTGGTTCCTATCTAAGGGGGATCATAAAAGTGGTGGAAATCACAACTACACTGTTAAGGAGCGACTCAATTTAATTTGGAGTTTTAGTAAAAAAATAAAAAGTAATTTTTTTAATAGTATAAATAAAATTAATCACAACTCAAAAATAAAATATACAAATATATATACACACAAATTTATAATAATAAAGTTAATAAAATTAAAAAAATAATTAAAGAAAAAGAACCATTGAACTTGATTTAAAAAACTCAAATTCAATACTTCTAAATTTTTTTTAATAGAATAAAAATACGTTCATAAAAACTGTAAATTTGTAATGAGAGTGGGAGGAGAAGATATAATATTAAAAAAATAAAAAATAAATAAAAAATTGGAATAAGGAAAGTTTTCACCATTTTTAAAATATACAAATAAGTATTGGACACGCGTCCGACGGAGAGAGAAAGATTTTTGAATATTTAATATTTTATTGTTGGTGTAACTTATCAAAAAATATTTTTAGTACTGGCATAAAAAACGTGAATGAGAGAGAGAGAAGATTTTTGGGCCTAATATTAAATTTCTATATTGGTTAGGATATATTGTAAAATGTTAATGAAAGTAAAAAGAGGGAGAAAAAAAAGTTATATTAAGAATGTAAATTTTTAGGACCAATATTAAATTTATGTATCAATTAGAGTTCAACGGAACGAGGGAGGTGAGATAAAAGAGAAAAAAATAAAGAGAAAAAGAGTAAGTAGAAGTTATCCCAAGTCAGTTATTTTAGGATATAACTATTTGAAACTTAATATAAAATCGGAATGAACGAGGAGAGAGAGAAAAGAGAAAAAATAAGTTATTTTAGGATATAAATATTTGAGACCTAATATAAAATCGAAACAAGTGGGGATAGATAAAAAAGTTATTTTAGAATATAAATCTTTGAGATCTAATATAGAATTTTTATATTTATTGGAGTTTAACAATATTAAGAAATAATTATAATATAACTTAATATAAGAAAATTTTAAAATTTAGTGACCGCCTAAATTATCCAAGGCTGGAGCTGACCCTCCTCCCATTGGAAGTGTCACTTCATAAGCGACTGAATTCCTAATCTCTCTGGTATAGGAATACGAGGAAATATCACTTGAGTTAGAGGCTCAATGGGTAAACCAGTCTACAATATTTCTTATTTTCAAATATAATTTTTCTTTTTAAAAAGAGTAATGGTAGAACGGCCAAAAACGTGATTGGCCACATCAGCTCCTCTTATTTACATTCTTTTGAGTTTCCAACACCTCTTTATATTTTTACTACATACTCTTCAATCTCTCTCTTCTTTGTATCTCAATTCATAAAATCCTATAAATCTTTCATTTATTCATTCTTTTTATATTGTCTTGTTTCTTGACTTGTAAATCTTTCATAATTTTATTCTTTTTCTCTTATTTTTTAGAAGAATACTAAGTTAATAAGTCACCGTGACAAATCAATAGACCCATTTTGCTGAAGTTTAGAGATTAGGGTTTGTGTGGAAGACACATGCAAGAGACTTCCTCAAGGAATATTGAAGAGAGATGATGATGGTTGCGGGTCAAGGTTGTGGCATGGTAGAGTATGAACAAATTTGGATATTTTAGGGAGAAATATGAGATGTGAAATAAAGGGATGGTGGTGGCGGTGATGAGAAGAACAAAGAGATGGAGAAGATAAATTCATACACACGGGAAAGAGATGGTAAATTTAGAGAGAGGAAAAAAAAAGTGATTGCAGAGAGCCAATGAAGAAGGGAAAGAGTCGGTAAATTTAGAGAAAGGAAAAAAAAAAAGTGACTGCAGAGAGTCCATGAAGAAGCAAATCTCTAAATCTAGGGTGATTGCAGAGAGTCCATGGAAAAGAGAAATTCACAATCCAGAGTGATTGCAGAGAGCCAATGGAGGAGAAATACAGAACCCAAATCCAAGAAAGACAAAACAAAGAGAATTTGAGAGGAGTAAAATATTTAGAGAGAGAATAAGTAAAGATAATTTGAGAACTTCCATGAAATAAAGATAAGGATAAATATGAAGGACTTAATTGTCATTTGTTGAATAATTATATTTTTTGAGAAATTGTTTGACTACATAACATTCCATGTAAATTTGGTAATAATGTTTCGATGTTTCTACCGTGATTCTAAAAAAAATTATACAGTATATGGTAAAAAATAATGAATTACCAATTCAAAAATAGTTGACATGCAGTTGGACATCACCATAAATGTTAGTGAGGACTTGCCCTCTTTAGAACTTTCCAGCAAGAGGCAGTATTTCAAATGGTACCAATTTAATGGTCGTATGAGACAAAATTTAGTGTCAAAGTCACAACATTTATTTTACAAATAGTGACCGCATGATCCTACTTTTTTTTAACACTATCTACATCACTTTTCTTGCATTTATTTAAAATAAAATAAAATTATAAAATCCACGTGTCAATGTCCAAATGGTATCCTACTCAAGCCTTATCCAATATAGTACAGGTTGCAATTTGATTCTTTCCCAATTGACTACGGTTCAGCCCTCGTTGTTTTGGTCACCTATATGACTTTTGCTTCAATAAATAATTAATACAGGAAACGAAACGGCGTCGTAGGGCCGACCACTTGCCTTAGATTAGTCTTTAGAATACCCTGTTTTAATCAGAAAGTGTAAGCTACACCACCAATAAACGCTTTCTTCCTCTTCTTCGTGTAGCTGTCTGTTCATCGATAAAGGGGTTCAAGAATCAAAACTTAGGTATGTTATCTACCAGATTTTGTTTCTTCGTTCATATACTATCTTTTATTTTCTCATATATGTGTGTATGTTAAATTACTCCCGGTTCTTGATTGACTTTTTATTTATTTATCAAAAGTTCTAATTGAAGTTGAAGTATCTGCTGGTTCTCTGTGAATGATTAATTCTCAATTAAGTTGTCTTTCGTCTTTCGTTTCTCAAATAATTTTCTGGGTTTTGAAGGACAACCAATTTGAGATATTCTATACTCTGATCTATGTTACAAAATTATACGTTACCTTTGTTGATTTGAGGTTGTGACCATGCTTCATCACTTGGGACTTGTCCTTTTGGTTTGATTTTGATTTTTTCTTTCTATTTGTAAATTGATTCTTCTGACATTTTACTGGGGCTTTTTTGAAAAAATAATAATAATATTGGATGGAATCTATCTTGTTTTGTTACAACAGTTTTCAGATTTGGTTATTGATACTTTCATGCTTTGCTTTTTTTTTTTTTGGGTTCTTATTTTGTTACAACTATTTTCAGATTTGGTTATTGAAACTTTGGTGCTTTGTTTTTTTGGGGGTTTTACAGTAAATAAAGAGCTCCGATGATGATCAACTGCCTGCTGTTTGTTACTTTATTGTGGCCTTTGAGAAACAAGGTGATCGATAGCATATTTTCTAGGACAAATACTACCTCTTAGTGATAGATACCATATAACAGCTCCGATACCAGATCACTTGGTAATCGAAAGTGATTTGCTAAGGGCTCTAGTTTGGATTTTGGGGAGCCTGAAAAGTTTCTGAGAAAGCAAGAATGGTTTCAAGTGATAATGGAGAAAATAATGGAGGGATTGAGGAATCTGGTATTTCTATTAAAGTCAAGGGTCAGAGCCCCCTTCGAGTTTCGGCATCTCAAAAGGGGCTTATAGATGAAAGCCCTCAAAATAGGTTCCATGGTAACTTATCTGCAGTTCCCAACAGAATGAGGTTCCTTAATTTTGGTTCTTTGGCTTCCCCATCTGCAAAATTCCAGCGTTTTGCCGAGGAGAAAGATGAGATTTCACGCGCTGTACCTAATTCAAGTAGTCATGCTTTTCGAGAACGCATCAATATGGTTTTCGGTCGAAAAATTGATTGGGCCTCTCTTTCAAAAATTTGCAGGGAATGGATAAGGGACCCGATGAACATGGCCCTTTTTGTCTGGATCACTTGTGTTGCCATTTCAGGTGCAATCTTGTTCCTCGTCATGACTGGAATGTTAAACGGTGCCCTGCCAAAGAAGTCCCAAAGAAATGCTTGGTTTGAAGTTAATAATCAAATTCTTAATGCTCTTTTTACGCTGATGTGTCTTTACCAACACCCTAAGCGGTGCTACCACCTAGTACTTCTATGTAGATGGAAACCAGATGACATTTCAAAACTCAGAAAGATTTACTGCAAGAATGGGACTTATAAGCCCAATGAGTGGATGCACATGCTTGTCGTTATTGTTCTACTACACCTCAACTGTTTTGGACAATATGCCTTGTGTGGTCTGAACTTGGGATACAAGAGATCAGAGCGACCTGCTTTAGGTGTTGGATTGTGTATCTCCGTTGCAATTGCTGCACCTGCAATTGCTGGTGTTTACATGATTGTTAGTCCGCTCGGAAAGGAGTATGATTCTGAATTGGATGAGGAAGCACAAGTTCACAGCACTGGTGATATTAGCAGGCCAAGCCCTTCGAGAAGGAAATCATTAGAGAAGAGATTTTCATTTGTAGTAAGAGATGAAGAAAGGATAGTTGAGACCAGGCCAAAGTGGAGTGGTGGTATACTTGATTTTTGGGACGATATTTCTTTAGCATATCTCTCACTATTTTGTAGTTTTTGCGTTTTCGGGTGGAACATGGAGAGACTTGGGTTTGGAAACATGTACGTTCATATTGCAACCTTTCTTCTGTTTTGCATGGCTCCTTTCTGGATTTTCAATTTGGCTGCCATTAATATTGATAACGAGGCTGTCAGGGAGGCATTGGGTGTTACTGGGATTTTTCTTTGCGTGTTTGGTTTACTCTATGGTGGCTTTTGGAGAATTCAGATGAGAAAAAGATTCAATCTGCCATCTTATGATTTCTGTTGTGGTAAAGCAGCCGTTACTGATTGTGCACTGTGGCTTTTCTGCTGTTGGTGCTCTCTTGCTCAGGAAGTGCGGACTGGGAATTCCTACGAAATTGTGGAAGATAAGTTTTGTAGAAAACAAGTGGATAAATGTGACCAGTTGCCAATTTCACCTCTGCCTCGTGAAGATGGAGAATTCCAATTCAGGTCCGGTCCGAGTTCTCCACTTGAGAACAACTCCTCTCCATCCCAGACTGTGAAAGCCAGCTCTCAAAGTCCCAGCAGACTTTCAAAGAGTTATTTTAGTCCAGACAGGCAGCTTTCTTCGGTGGAAGAAGAATCTTGTACAACAGGTAAGGATATAACAATGAAACCACCCGCTCTTTCATTTATACAAAGAGATGCCAATTAGCACAAGTTCATTTTGAAATGGCATTTGACTTGTAATTTAAAGTGGTCGGAACTGTTCATGTAATTTATATGTTTTGAGTGTATCTGAATGAATTTTTCACACGCCCATTCTTCCTTGTGGCTCTTTGGAGATGTCTCAGGTTTGCCTCCTAATCATTCTTGCAGTTTCCTTTCTTTTCTTTTTTATCTGACTTCAGATTTGAAGCAATGCTCTATCTAAAGCAAGATGCAGTAGGTTCTTCCTTTAGAATAAAAAATGAAATAGATCTCCTGATTCTTTTATGGTGGAAGATTTGGCATCTTGATTTACCTTTCCTTCTGCTTGGATTTTTTTATTTTTTTATTATTTTATTTTTTTGCGAAACTTGCTTCTAGGCCTTGGATTTTTTATTTAAATTTTTTTGGTAGGTAAGATACACACACTTACTGTTTTGCTGTGAATCATTTACCTTGCATACTTCCTGAAGATCCATTTTTAACCCATCTCTCCTTTGGTAGATTGCAGTCCACGTTGATATTTTGTTAAATTTTCACATAATCACTACATCTTCCTAACAGTGGAAAAGGCTTTGGCTAACTGCTGTAGTTGGATGAGCTACTGAACAGCATTTTTTCTCCTTTCATAAATTTAGTTTTAAAATTCTAGATAGATATAGTGAATCGGCCTGCCATACCAGCAGACCATTGGGAGATAGTAACTAGTCAATCCTGGGCCACAGTTGTAGAGAAATCAGATTCCATACAAACCATCTAGGAAACTTGTCAGATAGTCTAGAACTAGTTATGCTCTTTAAAACCATGCAAACTGATAAACTTTAAATTTTAATCACTAGTAATATATTCTTACAGTTGAGAAGACATTACTGATTTTATCAGACCATTGGGAGATAGCAACTAGTCGATCCCGGGCCATAGTTCTAGAGAAATTTGATTCCATACATTGCCATCGGCAAAAATTGTCAGATAGTCTACAACTTCTTGTGCTCTTTAAGACCATGCAAACTGATAAACTTTAAATGTTTCACTAGTGATATATTCTTGCAGTTGAGAAGACATTACTGATTCTATCAATGAATCTTGGATTTGTCGTTTAAGAACAGACAACCAGGTTTCAGTCTTCACAAAAAAAAATTAACTAGTGCTGTTAAAAGTTTCAGGTTTCAAGTCCATTTATAAGGGTAACCGCTTGCATTAGGCCAAATCAACAGAGGGGAGGAACAGAAATTTATTATTTTCTCAAACAAAGCTTTTGGTTATATTTTCAGTTTGATAGCAGTGCAGTCAGAATGTCCCAGAGCCAGATGGATTTACATATACAAAATAGGCTTGGGGGTGAGTAGGTCTCGTATGCTTGTTTGTATTGATTTTCTTTCTCTAAATTATACAATTGACTGTAAATCTAATCAATCAAATAAAGCAAATAACAAGTAGAGAGAACCAAATCTTATGTAAAAAGCTCAAATAGGGAAAAACCATAGAACCTTGTCTGGGGCAAATCAAATCCACCATGTGAATGAAAGGTGACATGCTTGAGTCTTAACACAGACTCATACCTAGCAACTCAACGAAATACAATAGCTGCCAAAGTTTTAGACACATGCTTGGTTAATTACCACTCTTCTCCCACAAGCCTAGTTGTGGTCGATACCTTAGACTTACACCTGTTCTCCTGAAGCAACACAATCGAACCACTAGATCCAGGTCTTCATGAAAACAGTTGCGAACTAGCCTTGAGTCACTACTTCATGATTGTTGAAATAATTCTTATTTATTATTTAATACCTTATAATAATTCTTTTTCCTTTTTTTCCCCTCTGCAAAAAGCTTCATGATTATAAAAATGAATAAATAAATACACCTTCCTCTATCATCTTATGCTTTTATAGTAATATGTTGTTAAGTAGGAAGATCTTGTGTTCAAATGCCTACACCTCCTAGTAATATATTCACTTCACTCATAAGAATACAATACGTGAGGGGGAGTGTTGAAGTAAATAATAACTATATCATTCTGTAACATCTTAAGCTTTTAGAATAATAGGCTGTTGAGATGTCCTCTCAATATTTAATAGGATTTACAATTTTTTTGAATTTTCTGCATATGATATTGGATTTACATTATCAGGGGAAAACAATAAAAATATGTTTGTCTTATAAATTAAGATGAACGTGTGCTTATAATGCATATAGTTTATGGTTATGTGCTTCAATTAATATTGCTTTTCTTTAAAGTAAATTGCAGATATCCAGTATGTGTGCTCATAAATGTTATTTGCTGTTGCTATGTTTTTCATTCAGAAATTTTCATTTTCTATTATGTAGCCAAGATTGAATGAAATCTATGGCAAATGGAAATTTAATAGCTGCCGAAGGAAGCAAATTTAAACAAATGGGCATGTTAAAGTGGAAAAACTCATTTAGGCTCTGGCATCTGATAAGCTGCCTCAGGAATCTGTTACGACATTATTTTGCTTGTTTTTATGCACCGTTTGAATGTCTGCTAAGAACTCGTCTTTTTTATATTGTTTTTATTTGTTTATTAATTTTTTGTTTTAAAGACATTTGTTTCATGGGAAAGCTTATGGTGTTTCTGGGAAAGAATTACAACAGGTTCTAGGTGTGAAAACTAGATTTAACGGGGATAATGTAGGTGTGGTGCTGCTCTTCCATCCCCCCTCCCCAAGTTGAAAAGGGACTCAAAAAGGAGAGCAGAAATCAGGTAGGAAAGATTAGCCTCTAATATAGTTTCTCACACACAAATATATTCATGTTGCCAATGCTTGATGATATAGGCTACACTGAGCAGATGATGATTATGAACACCTGATTGATACTTGTGCCTTATGACTTGTTCCATCTAGTTTCCCCCAAAAAGTACATTTGGGTAAAAAGAACAATGAAGTGGTTAAGAAGCCACTAGTCTGATGAGTTAATTCCTTGTGACATGATGACAAGGACCATATTTTAAGTGGTAAAGACTTTTTTATTAGCAATAATTCACATGTTAGGTTTTGCTGTCTGTTAATAGTTAGTATGCTCCAATGTGCATGTCACCATCATTGCCAGCCTTCAACCTCTTCTGTGAAACCGTTAGCCTTGCATTTTTAATGACGTCCTCATTCTAATCACCTTTTTTAAAATTAATTGTGATAACTAATCCATTCATTATGTGGACTAAATTGAGTGTATTAGATGCTATCAGGACTCGGAACATAATAGCGATGTTTTTGTCTTTGTTTCACCCTTTCGCTCTTTCTTTCTTTGTTCTTGTTTTTTGAATCCTGCATTTCGGAGTAGTGTAGTTCACAACCACCGAGTAAAGATACCAGTTCTTGAATCATATATGTTATAGATACAAATTTGTCTCTGAAGCTGTACTTGTGATAGCAGGGGAGGGGATTGACCCCATTGTTAGTGGACCTTTGAAGTGAATGAAGGGTTCAATACATATAGCTCTACGACTGTAATGGAACTCTTCCACCTTTTACAAATAGAGGGATCATTATACATCATTATTGTCTTTGTTATTAATTATAGACATATGGTTTAATTTATTGCTATGATTGATACATTTTGGGATGTTTAGTGGGAACAAAACATTGGCCATTCTAAAAGAAAATAAATAGAAAAATGAATCAAAGTTGTGTCATTCATGTACCTAAATTTTGTAGAAGAAAGAAGCATGTCATGTCTCAATGTATATGTTCTCATCCCCATCGTTTTCTTGATTTTGTGCCTATGAGACGCATTATGCTACTAGTTTAGATAAATGGGCATGCATGTGTGGTATTCTGACTCAATGAAGTGGTGATCCTATTGGCGGTGCATGTTGACGAGATAATCAGTTGAGGAATATCTCAACACACACACACAGTGACACACACATATGACCCATATTCGTATGCACAATATTCTCACATAACAAACACACCCACACAAGCACACACTTCAATTTTAGTATTTGATAATAATGGTGGTGATCGTATTGGCCGGTGTGGACAAAGACAAATTAGAGATCATGGAGGCTCCACACAAAGACATATGTGCCATACAAAGACTACCAATTTGTCCACAACCATAAGTGGAGTACAGTTGCTTTGTGTGACTCGCCAATGTGATTACCATCGTGTTATTATTTCTCAAAAAATTTCCTTTCTGAAGTGGAAGAATTTAGTATAACGGGTAGAAAATAATAAGATGCATTAATATGGGATTATATGGGATACACGACGCTCTACTATATAACTGTCAGCAACTTTCATTTAAGTAAAAAATAATTGGTCTACCTTTCATGGACTTGTGTACAGGTCTCTTACTTTCAACGGGCACTGATAGTATTCTGCTGTACATATAACTCTCGGCGACTTTCATCAAGAAGTAAAAAATAATTGGTCTACCTCACATGGACTTGTGCACGTCTCTCATTTTCAACGGGCTTTGACACTATCAGTCACGAGTTCACGATCTATTTCATTATGTAGATGCCTCCATACCTAAGTCACAAAAGGCGGGAACGGAGCATGAGAACGATAGAATTAAGTCATATATAGTAAGAGTTTGAATCAGAGCGTGCACGGAGCGTAAGAGTGAGAGCGTGCTCGAAGTATAAGAGCAACACCTGTTGAGAAGAATTATGTGACTTAACTCCGTACTCACGATTTTCAAAACTCGTCTACACTGTTATAAGATATTCACTGTAACTTTTCCCTCAGACATCATGAAACGCTACACAAGATATACCTATTGGTTACGGTTTGTTTTATACTGTTTAATTGATCTATTTAGTTGGTAGGTGTGAATGTTATTACTCTTATTGCCAATGTTAAGTGGGTTTTGAAAATGTGATAAACATGACAAAATGCTAACTAAAATAATAATAATAATAATAAAAAAAATAGACATGGCAAATTATCACTCAAGAGTCTTAATAAGTGTCCTTATTATAAATTTATTATTTTTCTTCTTCTTCTTTTCTTTTATCTTGAGATAAAAGTCTTCCAATATTGAGATTATGGTGTGAAATTTACCTAATTTTCTAAATAATCAACCTACTTGTTTGAATAAATGAAACAGATAATATGTCTATGGCTTGCAAAAATCAATTCGATCCTTCTCTATATAAGAGCATCTCCAATGCTAAAAGCTATTTTTAGCTGCCAAATTTATATTTTGACAGGTGTTACAGTGTCAAAATGCTACATTTTAGCAATTCTGCTCCAATGGTGCATTTCATGCAAAATGCTATTTTTTGACACAACCACCATTCTTTTTAATTACCATTCCCACGATTCATATTTGTATCAGTAATATTAATATTAGGCACATTCCAACTCAAGTTGTAGATATCAGAAGGAAACTAAAATTAAACCTAATTAAAAAGAAACAAAAATCTAAAATATCTGGTCAAAAAAGGACCAATATATATATATATATATATATATATATATATATGTATAAATTTATATATTCGATTATGTATAAATTTATATATTCGATTATACTGTTATATATATATATATATATATATATATATATATATATGTATATTATATATATTATTATTAAATATATATATATATTTTTAGGGCAAATCATTTAAGCCTCCCCAATCGCCTCCATCTCTATTCTCGTTCTCAACTCTGAACTCCCCTTCTCTCTTTATCTTTCTCTGCAACTGCAAACTCAAAAATCTATAAGAATTAGAAGTTGAAAACCCATATATTTCAGTTTATCTATCTGTCTGCAAGAATCAAAAGATCAAAACCCATATTAGCATATCATTTCAGATTGTTCAAAAATCCATATCTTTCAGTTTACATCGCCTGCTTTTCCAATTCGAGTTCGCCGTTCGCAAGCTTCAGTCGCTTTCTCAACTCTCAAGCTTGGCCTCTCTCTTTCTGCAACTACTAAATTGTATGTATGGGTTTTGTTTTAATTTTTTTTCCTAAATCAACTAATCAAGGTCTGTAATTCTTGTTTTGCAAACTAAATCCCATTTTTTTAATTATATATATATATATATATATATATATATAGATGAATTTGGGTTGAAATTGTATGTGTGTGTGTGTGTTTGAAATTATATACATGTATGTGTGTGTGTGTGGGGTTGGTGTTAGAGAGCTGCCAAAAAAATTTGACAACTCTTATATTTGAGAGAAATTTTGAGATTTTTATATTTTGAGAGATCAAATGAAAGGTCATTGGAGTAACTTTTTTTATCCATCCCTCAAATTATGAGTTTGAGAGATCAAAATGAGAGAGCATTGGAGATGCTCTAAGTGCTAGACACATTTAAAATTTTTGATAATATTAGTTAAATTCACTTTTGACTAGTATTTTTGTAGCAATCTTGAGGCATTTCTAGTCCGTTGGATCATGATCGTACGGGTAATAATGTAGTAGGTTTTGGCGGCATTGGGGTGTGGGGATCAAAATGGTCTGGTTCCAACCAAGCACTCGCACTGTAAATTAGAGGGACTTTTTCGTCTCTTTCGTTCATGACAAATTCCATTTTTGTCTTCGTTTATGTTAGAGGATGGACCATTGCTTTAACAGTAGGATATGCATCAAAATGTAGTCTCTATTCAAACATATTGTGGGTTCAATTATTAAATCACTTTTTTATATTCTCGTGTGAGTTGCAATCCATCTGAAATGGTATAACACGAACAACATATTGTGGAGATCTCAACTATATTTTAATATTTAATTAAGAAAAATGGAAAGATTGATTTTTACACGAAGTATGGACTATGACCCAAGTGGAGCAAAAGAGTGTTTCTATGAGTTACTCATTTCTTCAAAATAAAAATAAAAATAAAAAATCAACCATTAAAATCATGGGATGCAATGTCTTTTTTTTTTTTAGTTAACCGGGATATTTGGGAAGGCATGAACATTTAGAGTCCTTTAATAACCCGACTAATCTCCGAAAGTTCGAAAGAACGCCTTCTCATCCAAACCGAATAAGTCACTACAAAAATAACATAGATTAGTCAGAAAGAACAACTTGAACTCTAAATGAAGACCTAAGGCTTATGAATGAGATGCAATGCCTTGGGACTGGATCTCATTGCATTGCATTGAACTGCCAAGGCAATCATATCCCCTGTTCACTTATTTTTACCATTTTCTATAGGATATAATTCATTGGTTGCCATTGAAATTTTTTACCGATTTCTTATTAATTTTCTCATCAAACTTTGAATGAAATAAAACCAGTTTAAAATTTAAATGCGCAATTCGCCTTGATTCTAATTTCAAATTACGAATTTTATATTTCTTTTATGAATTTAGTTTATTACTTTGCGTGGATTCCATCAAAGCTATTGTTTCATTCCGCCGTATCTAAAGGCTAAGACCTCAAATATTAGTTTCTTAAATTAATTTTTTTTTTCTTTTTATTTTGGTAAATAATTAAAATGATTTCATCCTTGCTTACTCTTCCAAGATGAGTCAAAAAATGTTGGCTGACTACTTAGACTTTTTCTTGTCAAACTGTTTAAAAAGACCGTGAGAAAAGTGATAATTTCACCAATAAAATAGTGCCAACATGCCACGTGTACACACACTCATGACTAAGCAAGCAGCCCGTCAAATAAAATACACAATTTGTGAGGGTAACCTAGACAAAACGAAACCAAGTGAAAAGACTACTATGACCTTCCCTATATCTATATAATGACCCACCATAGTCTTCACTCCTCACTAAAACCAACCCAACTTTCTCTCTCCACTCTACCCATCTCTCTCTCTCCACTCTACCCATCTTTCTCTCTCTAGACCATCGGCGGGCTCGTTCTGCAAGAACTGGCTAACTCAGAGGAAATTCTGGAGGAGTCCAACAATCAGAGGGTGGTACTCGCCCTGTATGAAGCCTTAAGCGCACGTGACGTAGACACGGTGCACAAGCTTCTCGCAAGTGACCTCGAGTGGTGGTTCCATGGCCCTCCGTCACACCAGTTTATGATGCGCCTTCTCACCGGCACTGCCTCGACGCACGATTCTTTCAACTTCGAGCCCCAGTCCGTCGCCACTTTCGGATCAACGGTCCTCGTCGAGGGCTGCGATCACGACCGTCTGATCTCCTGGGTCCACGCCTGGACCGTCACTAATGGGATAATCACCCAGGTGAGGGAGTACTTCAACACGTCCCTTACCGTCACCCGGTTCGGGAACACAGACCAATCGACAACGTCTGATTTCTCATCATCCTCCTCGTCCTCATCATCATCGTCGATCAGAGCTCTCCACTGTCCTTCCGTTTGGGAGAGCAGCCTCTCGAATCGGGTCGGAAAATCTGTGCCGGGTCTTGTCCTGGCAATATAAATTAATAATTATAATCTGGGGTGTGATCAGGTGCAGCCGGGAGTAGTTTAATAACGTGGTACTTGAATATAAAGTACAACCCGGTGCAGCGTAGTCTGATTGCATATGGGCTGAAGTACTGTAGTGTGAGTGATGCTTGTGTGTGACGGTGGATGTAAGATAAAAGGGTGTGTTTGGATTGTTGTTTGGGCTCTGCTGTTTTCTCAACTGTGTGTGGGTATTACAAGGGGGGTGTTTGGTTTTAGCGTTTTGTGCCTCAAGTTTGAGGGAAACCATGATGGGGAGACCCAATTGGTTATTTCCGGATGTGTGTGTTTCCTGGTGTGTTTCTTGTCTAATAAAAAAGTTGTCATTTGATTGGCTTATAATTCTGCTCTTCTTTTTCTTTATTTTTATTTATTTAATCCTAAAAACCTCAATACAACGTTGGTTATGGTAAATAAAATGGTAACCATCACTAATTTTTTAGAGGACAATATTTTACATAATCACGAATCACTGAGGACAATATTTATCCACTTAAGGACTACTTTCTTGAAATTCAGATAAAGAATATGAGATTAAAACTGTATTTGATCTTATTCACGATGATGTTACATTCAATTTATAGAATAATACTTAGTTAAAATAGGTAATTAATTCTACAATAATCGAGAAACTAATTACTTACCAATTATCCCTAAATCACGGAGTATATAATTCAATCCTACAGCTGTACAATCTATATAATCTCGAATTACAAGATCTAAAATCTCAACACTCCCCCTTAAGTTGGTGCATAGATGTCACACATACTCAACTTTTCTAAAATTTTTGAAAACACTTTATTTGAGACTACTTTAGTGAGAATGTCAGCTAGTTGATCCTCAAATCGAATCTTAGACAACCCCACAATTTTTCCATCCAACTTCTCCTTAATGAAGAATCTGTCTATTTCTACATGCTTCGTACGATCATGTTGAACTGGATTATGGGCAATATCACATGTTATTTTATTGTCACAATATAGTCGAATCGGTTGCCTAGGTTGATAACGCAAATTCCGCAAAAGAAATCTTAACCACAAAGTTTCACAAAGTCCAAGCGTCATACCTCTGAATTCAGCTTCTGCACTCGAGCAAGCAACAACATTTTGTTTCTTGCTTCTCCATGTAACAAGATTACCTCCTACAAAAGTAAAGTAACTAGAAATAGATCGTTTATCATCTATAGCTCCAGCCCAGTCAGCATTAGTATATACATCTATATTTTGATAACCACCATTTTTAGTGAACAAAATTCCTTTTCCAGGAGCAGATTTCAAATACCTCAAAATGAGCATAACTGCATTCATATGTTGCTCTCCAGGATCATGTATAAATTGGCTAACAATGCCCAATACATAAGCCAAATCCGGTCTCGTGTGTGCTAAATACATCAATCTCCCTATAAGTCTTTGGTATCTTCCTTTATTAGCAGGTATTTGGTTGGACTCAACACATAACTTCAGTCCTTCTTCCACTGGTGTCTCAGCTGGTTGACATGCTGTCATGCTAGTCTCTTGTAATAGATCTAAGACATATTTTCTTTAAGATAGAAAGATTCCTTTATTAGATCGAGATATTTCGATTCCAAGAAAATATCTTAAAAGACCTAGATTTTCATTTCGAATTATCTGGATAAGTACTTCTTAAGAACCTTCATTTCTTCAGGATCATTCCCTATAACCACCATGTCATCTACATATACAATGAGTGCAGTGATCTTACCCTGTTATTTCTTTAGAAATAACATGTGTCTGAATTGCTCTGACGGTAACCAAAGGCTATCATAGACCTTGTGAAGCTTCCAAACCATGCTCTTGGAGATTATTTCAACCCATATAATGATTTCTTTAACCTGCAAACCTTCGACTATACTTTTCGGGTATCATACATCCTGGTGGGAGATCCATGTAGACTTCTTCAGATAATTCACTACGCAGAAATGCATTCTTCATATCGAATTGTTGCAATGGTCAATCGAAGTTCGTAGCTAAAGACAACAAGACTCAAACTGTGTTTATTTTGGCTATAGGTGCGAACGTCTCTGTGTAATCGATTCCATAGGTTTGGATGTAACCTTTTGCCACCAATCTTGCTTTAAAGCGTTCAACTGTGCCATCGACTTTATACTTCATAGTGTAAATCCATCGACATCCAAGTTGTTTCTTTTCTGGTGGAAGATCAATGAGTTCCCAAGTTTCATTTTTCTGCAATGATTTCATTTCCTTGTTCATAGTTGCTTTCCATCTAGGGTCAGCTAAGGCTTCTTGCACAGTGTTAAGAATAGATACAGTAGATAATTGATTTTCAAATAACAAATTTGATTCTAACAAACGATGGTTCGATACATAATTGCTCACGGGATACTTAACTTTACTAGAAAATTCGGATTCATATGTGGGTTTTGGAATACCTCTAGTGTGACGTGGTGGTAATTGTTTTTTAGAGTGGCTCAGGCACTAAATCAGGAACATCCTCAGCAGGCGGTTGGTTTGATATATCAGTTGCGAGGGACTCGAACTCGAACGACGATGGGGTTGGCACCATACTTTCCATTTCTGGGCGTTCATCACCACTTTGATCCAAACTTATACCACTCGAATCCAATTCGTCCGATTCCTAATTGGTTGGTCCTTATGAGTCATTAACATTAGAATCGCCGTCCTCAATTCTCCCGATTTCTGGGTTAGTAATATCTGTGTATGTGTATGGGTCTGTATGTGTATGGGCCTTTGAATTTCAAAGATAAATTGAAAGAGATTCAAAGTTACGGTTCAATGATGGCTCTGATACCATCTTGAAATTCAGAGAAAGAATATGAGAATTAAAACTCTATTTGATCACAATGGTGTTACATTCAATTTATAGAATAATACCTAGCTAAAATAGGTAATTAATTATACAATAATCGGGAAACTAATTACCTATCAATTAGCCCTAAATCAAAGAGTTTATAATTCAATTCTACAGCTGTACAATCTATATAATCCCAGATTACAAGATCTAAAATCTCAATTATCTACAAGGCATATCAAAATAAGAAAAATAAATCCTAATTGATCTCAATTTTCATTCGTTTTTGTCTACACTTTTTGGCACAATGTTGAGACAATAGTCGTAATGGCCTTTTTTTGACTTCTAACCCCCAAGGTAGAATCATCAAAAGTATTTTGTGCTAAGTAGGAGGAAACTGCATAATTATTCACAAATATGAGAGTTTGTTCAGACACTATATTACAACAATGTAGTCTAGTACTTTCCATCTTTTAAAAGTGTTGTGATTATGGTTTGACGTATCAACCCCTTCGTAACATTTTTTCAAGGATCCGATATCGTTATACACCTCCATGAATCGGTTGATTCGGTCGGTTTATAGCGAATTCGTCTGAGTCCATTACACCGCGATCGCAAGCGATACCGCGATTTCGAACCACGATTGTGATTAACTTTTAGAAGATCGAGCTCATCACAACCTAAAAACATTCATGCCGGTCTTTCGAAGGTCCCCATTTGAATGCATCTAATGGTACTAGTGCATTTGAACACAACTTCAACCATCTAACTTTGGACACAACTCACACTACCTTTGCTCCGTTTAGATATTCAAACTCTTTTCATTCTGAAAAATAGAAAAGATACTATTAGACCACGAGAAGATACTATTACGCCACGAGATCCTTAATCATATGCTTACTTATTGAAGAAGTGGAGTGGAAGGAAGGTTTATTTTTCATGTAATTTAAATCAAACGTTAAGGAAGGTTTATTTTTCATATAATTTAAATCAAACGTTATCCTCAGCCTAAGTGTTTTTCGTTCTTCTTTCAATTCAATCACTGTCTTCCACTAGACCACCTAAATATGCCAAAACAAAAACTTTATTTTAAGTGACCTAAATGGAAATCTATTGTCTACTTGATACATTTTTTTATGTCTTGTTGAATTCAATCAATCCCTTGGATTACACCATAAACTATATATAAGGAGTGATTTAAATGAAAGAGAATTATCCATTTCTATTATCTAAAGGGCAATTTGCGTGCCCTTAATGACAACCACAACTTATACAAGTTCAGTAACCAATCACATTTCTTTTTAGCATCCAAATATAATTTAGGGTAAGCTACAAAACAAAAGATTCCTCTCGCCCCAACTTTCACAAAATTGTCAACGCTAAGGCAAAATAATTCATGTAGTATTTGGAAACGTCAAATCGGTGTTTCTGATTTAAGCACGGATAAAATGTTCTCTAATCCCAATTCTAAACTGTCAATTTAGTATTTTCAAACATAATATCAAAATAATTACATATTTGACAACGTATAATTACTTTTTTTGAAAGTTGGTAGAGGAGAATCTTTTTCTACTTTCTTCAAACAGGATTTATACAAGATTTTGTGAAAATTAATTCAGGGGTTTCATAGAAAATTATTAGCATAAAGAGGTAACCTGACAATAAAATAAAGTGTGTGTATATGTGTGTGTTTGTAAACGTTATCATTGTAGGTAGATAGACATGGCGTGATAGTCAGACTTGATGCTCAAAGGAGGACGAAGTTTTAATTTTCATGTATGTAACGAACATTAAGGGTTTTGACAAGGACATGTCCTATATATAAATTGAAGGGCTCAATTAAATAATCTGATTTGGACTAATAAAATAAAAATAATCTGATTCTTATCCTGAAAGTGAGAAAACAAAAGTGAGTTGATAACCTTTGCATGTCGTTGTCCATAAAATTCGAAAGTCATGGTAATGCCGTAATGGCAAACAAAGCCTTAGCTTTCATACTGAGACAATTTACGCAATAAATAGTTGAACATTAAAGTAGTCATCTTTATCAAATTACATATAATGACTTTGTAATAAATACACGTCAAGCTAGCCTGTAAACTTAGATGAACATTGAATTTGAATCCAAAATAAATTATTAATTTTTTTTTTTTTTTGTTAATATCAACTATGAACACTTCTTGATAATAAATGCCTTTTAGGCCTTGTCATAGACATCCTTGGTCTAAAGGCTATAATCTTACATCTATTTTTCAACTTAATACATCATCACTTTCATGATGAAATTGGTTCAATTATCTTTAATATATATATATATATATATATATATATATATATGTATGTATATATAAAGACTTTTTATTTTCTTAATCGAATATAAAGACTTTTTGAAAATAAAAAATATATATATATATTTTTTCTGACCTGTTTTGTGTTAAGTTAAACCAAAAATACCCTAACACTAAAATTCATTACTGGTTTCAAGCAAAAATATTTTTTTATGTAACAAATTGTAGTCACTATAATAATAAGGGATTATTACACATAGATGG